CATTGTAGACTCCCTGCTCCCTGTGGATCGTTCGTTACAAGGTAGCGAGGCTAGTCAGCATGGCACAGCACCATATTAGGGGGGCCAGGGGAGAAGATTCAGATCCTCGGAGAAAGCACGACTTCTGCTGTTGCCTATTTAGTCCCCTTCTTCGTTGAGGTAGGTTACGGGCGGTATTTTGAAGCCATGCCAAGGTTTCTGAAGACTAAGTGTAACCACACTGAAAGCTCTCCGATAGGCAACCACCCAACCACCGTTCGCCTGTTTCCAGCTACCAAAGTCATAGGGAGTTTAGCTTTGCTTCTCAAGGCGGTCACTCCAGTATCAGGAAAGCTAAACCGTCAAAATCAATTCAGTGGTGACTACCAAAGGTCGTTACGTTTTTCAACTACTGGGCTTCTAGGAGTCCAACCTGGTCATTCTTCGTCTCTCACAATTCCGTCCGGTTCAGAACAGAACGTGGAAGCAAGCAAAGTCATGATGTCGTGACCCGCCTGGCGTACTCTGTTGTAATATTGAAATGTTTGACGAACTTTATTGTCCAACTGAAGTATAGTATCCCAGTTGCTCTTCATGTGCTCTTGCCTGCCCAGACATTGGATGTACTTGAAGAGAGAGGAGGTGCTGTGTAAGTATGTACTCTAGCTCCCTTGGCATGTATCACAGCTCAAGATAGCCCATATAAGGGTGTCGGCGGTGAGGTCTGAAGATCTTCCTTAAACCTATGTGGTGTCTTTAGTATTGAGGGCCACCTTTCGGCTGTACCATGCCTTCTGAACAGGTCAAGGGCGACCCAAGTCACGACTAATACCATAACCCCTAAATACCCCTGAATGACCTTGAGTGGGATACCGTCCAAGGTATGCATTTATTGGTTTTTGACGCTGTCTCTCATACTTTGTGTAGATGTAGTGACAACGGGGACTAAAAGGGGGAGGGGGGGTAAGGAGTCAACTGTGGAGTAAACCCTTCGGACCCGAAGGTACGGATGCACCTCTACTGCGAGAATATCATACAAGATTGATCTTGGATCAGATTTTGTTGCAGAAAGCAAACTTCGAGCAGGAATCCCAAGCGTATATGGATTGAAGTCAAGATCCTTTCTGAGATTTTACTAATGGTTGTTAATGGTATGACAGGTTGTAAAAAGACGCACTCGTCATACCTCCAGTTGCTGTAGAGTAAATTATCCTACACGTTCTCGTTCCTGTTGATAGACGGCGATCTGATGATGATGTTGTGGTAGGGGGGGAGCCTGATGAGATGAGGCTAGTGATACAGTTGCCATTTTGCGCAGTCTTGCTGCTCTAAGAAGAACTGCAGGATTCAACATGTTGGGGATTTGGCCATTCATGTTTCTGTCTGGTAGGGGACTTGCGCGTATGTGTATCCAAGATCGCCAAAAGATTTTCTGGGTGTCTCAAGACTTTCCAACTCGGATCCATGGGCATGGTGGAAGCCGAAACGTTGGCCTTGGGATCACGGATAGGCCTTGCACATACAACGAACTTGAAAAACACGTACACAGAGTCATAGAAAGTCTTCCCCTGCGCGGTCTAACGTCTTCTGCGCATTCGCGCTATTGAAATGTAAGAGGATGGGGAGAGATGATGCGAAACTACCTTGGACTTGAGGGACTGGTTTAACGAAAAAAGGCGTCATTTGCCTTTCGTCGAGGCCTAGGGAGGGCTACCAAGACTTGCTTTTTAACTCGGTCCTTTATTAGGCTCTCGAAAAAGAAGCGGTCGTTATTTACTGCCTGTCCGTGGTCGCTCTCTATATATTCGCGGAGCTACAGAAAGAAGATGGAACAGAGTCGTTTTGATCGGCGCTTGGTGGATGATGCCCTGGAATTCAGGGGTGGGAGTATTCGTATCTCTGGCGAACATGGACATCCATCTGGACTAAACAAAACAGGCATTGATATATCATCGTTGCCGGCATCGATTTCGATGGTTCAGTCAGTAAGCGGGCGCTGATCCCCCGTCTGTATCGTATAGGCAGGCTGAGCTGGAAAGACCGTAGCCAGTAGTCCTCATAAACTCGCTTCGGTAACGGTTTGCTGGGGTCGCGTCGACGCTCTTCACCTGCAGATTATGTAGACTGCCTCCTGTGCGGCGATCTAAGGTTGGGACCATCAGTGTTGTTCACATATTAACGAAAACACACCATACACCACGATGACAGTGTCACGGTTTTCTGGGGATAGAGGAGGACATCGTTGGGGTGCGTGGAATGGATTTGTTCGCATACATGGTCTTAGATACAATACTCTACAACTAGGAGTCTCGGTAGACGGGCGCGGAATGACACCGGTTCACGACGTGTCCTGTCGCGATATGCCGTTATCACATTGTCCTGCCGTTCTTCGTCGAGATCCTCCATGAGAGTGGCGCGCCCGTTTCCCAATGCTCCCTGGAACCCGTCACCGTAGAAACCCATTGCTTTTGTTCTCCAATAACTGAAGACCTGGTCATGACTTTTTTAATAATGTATGCCGTGATATTACACAGGAAGCCACCATTCGTATAATGGCCGCTGGAAGCCTCGCATAAACAAAGGAAGAAGCTCCGACATATCTGAAAGGGGATATGTCGTTCTTGTTGGCTGGCAACATTAACCCATAATCATGCCCTTCATGCCGGACAGGTCACCCTCCTTGGCAGCAATTTCGAAGTAGCCGTAGATGATGCTAAGCGCGTGTTAGAAAATTTTCAAATTTGTTCAAGACAGGGTGCAAAACTTACGTGACAGCCAGGAGAGTACCAGTGCCGGAGCCGAGGGCGCCCATGAGGTCGCTGGCAACGGAGAGAGCACCGATGCAAGCACCGCCAAAGGCAGCGGCGGTGGGAATGATGCGCTTGAGCTCCTTGTACATGCTCTGGTCACGGTGACCGGCCATGACGAGACCCTGGTCCTTGAGCTGCTTGGCGACATCGCGGGGGCTGGAGCCAGAAACCTCGATCCAGGTCTTGGAGAAGATGGCGCAGGCACCCAACATGTAGACGATGTAGACAGCGGTGTGGATGGGGTCGAGGAGGGCGTCCTTGAAGTTCAAGGGAGGAGACATGTAGTAAGCCAGACCGGAGATGGCAGAGAGCTGGGCAGAGCCGTCCTTGGCCTCCCAGACACCGAAAAGGCGGACGAGGAGGTTGTCAGAGAAGCGGGAGTACAGCATCTGGCTAATGAGGAAGATGTTGGAAGACAGAGCGGACTGCAGCATGATGGGCATGTTGGAGGTGTAGAAAAGGCGAACGGGGTAAGAGCCACGGGCACCACGCTGGCGGGAGGACTTGACGGGGATCTCGACGCGGAAGCCCTGGAGATAGATGACGGCAGCGAAGACGAGAATGGTGGCCAGGAGGTTCATGATGTTGGGGAGGTTCTGGCGGTAGAAGGCCTCCTGGAGAGCACGCTGCTTGTTGGGCCAGGTGAGGAGCAGGTGGAAAAGGGCGATGACGGCACCCTCGAATTCGGGGCCGCGACCGGTGTTGATGGTGGTGGGGGAGAAGGCCTTCCACATGATGGACTCGCAGATGTTGGTGGCGATGAACAGGGAGATACCAGAGCCGAGGCCGTATCCCTTCTGGAGGAGCTCGTCGAGGAGAATGACGATCATGCCGGCAACGAAGAGCTGGAGAACGAGGAGGAAGACGATACCGGCGCCGAGGTCAGAGGGTCGGCCGTAGAGGCCGGTGAAGACGTAGACAGTGGCGGTACCGGCGGAAAGAATGAAGGCAAAGAGCTTCTGGGCGGTCTGGTACAGCTCGCGGTCGCTCTTGAGGTCGAGGTTGACGTCGATCATGTGGGTACCAGCGAGGAGCTGGAAGACCATGCCGGAGGAGATGATGGGGGTGATACCCAGCTCCATCAAGGTTCCGCGATTACTCGCCATAACCATACGCAGCCAGTATAGGGGATCCGAGTTGTCGGAGGAGACGATGCCGTAAAGGGGCATTTGGCTCATGACCAGGAAGATGAGGAGGGTCAGGGCCGTCCACATCAACTTCTGGTTGAAGGGAACCTTGGTCTCCGGCTGCTGAACCTCAGGGAGGAACGGCACGAACGGCTTGACCAGGTCGAGGAACCGTACTGCGATGCGAAAGCGCGTTCGTTAGCCATTGGGTTGTCCTACTTTGAAGTGGTTGCCCGGAGGGCATTGCGGCATCGTTGGCGACGAATATCGCGCGCGTGGCCTTTTTGGAGCTATGCGCCCAAGCACGCGATTCACGGAGGCTGGCCGGGTGGAATTGGGTGGTTGAACTTACGGGAACTCATGATGGGCTGTTACACTGGGCAGAAAACAACAAACAAAAGGATTTAATTCATCCAGATGAAGAAGGGGAGAGGGCAGAAGAAGAGAGAGATAGAGAGCGACAATGGCTCCAGAGGTTGTGGCGAAGGGGGTGAGGAGATGGTGATGGGGAGATGGAGAGAGAAGGTTATTAAGGAGAGAGGGAGCAGAGGGTGGAGGGAAGCCCAAAAAAGAGGGTCGCTTGCGATCTGGCTTCAAAAACGCCAAATTGTCGATGTGTCCAAAAATTTGGTGGAGCTTTGTCATAGCACGTGATGCGTCCAATGGCAACGTGCCATTTGCTGGCTTTTGGGGGGGATTGGGGGACTCAGGGGGGAGCTTTAAGCTGCTGTCTCCTCCACATTTTCGGCTCGAGCTTTCAGCCAGGGGTCTTCAGCGATCCCAGCGGCGGCCCAATCCAGTGCCTGCCCGCTAAGCTTTTTTTCTTCTGGCGCGTTCCGATGCGTTCTGATGCCACCTGCGGCCTGCCTACCTACCTTACCTACCTCCCATTTCGGACCTTTCGCGACTCCAAATACTGACAGAGTCATCGCAGAGTCACAGCAGAGTCACCAACACTAGACACGAAGCAGCATCTGCAGTCGCGATGCTGTAAATCTTCCCCGTGTCCTTTCTCGGTGGTTCTCTGGGTATGATCTTTCGGTCTGTGATAGGCCGAAGGTTCATACACAATGTTGTTGGCAACATGACAGCCCGAATTGCGCCCGTGGAGCCCTTGGTGGTTATCTTGGGCTCGACCGGAACTGGAAAATCAGAGGTGAGTCGGGGGTAGCTGTCGCATCTCTATGCGGCCTGACTGACGAGGTACGTCCCGCAGCTCGCAGTCGAACTCGCAACTCGCTACAATGGCGAAATCATCAACGCAGACGCCATGCAGATGTACAAAGGCCTGCCCATCATCACGAATAAGATTACCACCGAAGAGCGCCGCGGTGTCCCCCACCACCTCCTCGACCACATCGGTCTCGACCAACCCACTTGGATTGTCGAGGACTTCAAGCGCGAGGCCAACAAGGTCATCCGTGAGATACGCAGCCGGGGCAACTTGCCCATCGTCGTCGGCGGCACGCACTACTATACGAATGCGCTCCTCTTCGAAGACACCCTTGTCGGCGCAGACGATGAGACATCCAAAGAAGGCGCCGCAGACGTCAAGGACGAAGAAGCATCCTCGTTCCCGATTCTGAACGAGCCGACCGAGGTCATACTCGCCAAGCTGCGGGAGGTTGATCCTGTCATGGCGGACCGGTGGCATCCCAATGACCGGCGCAAGATCTCGCGCTCGCTGCACATATACCTGCAACACGGCCGCCCGGCGTCAGAGATCTACGCCGAGCAGCGCCAGCGCAAGGCTGCCGAGAACGAGCCCGAGGGCGGTAGCAATGCAAGTCCGTGGCAGACACTACTCTTCTGGGTATACTCCGAACCCGAAGTGCTCAAGGAGCGCCTCGATAAACGCGTGGACAAGATGCTCGCCGTTGGCCTCAACGACGAGACACAGTCCATGTACGAGTACGTCCAGGCCAAGGAGGCCGCTGGCCAGGAGGTGGACTACACCCGCGGCATCTGGCAGTCAATAGGCTTCAAAGAGTTCTCGCCTTACCTCAAGGCCCTGAACGCCAGCGATCCTCTCACCGATTCGGATACATTGGAGGCTCTCAAAGCCGTGGGGCTCGAAGAGATGAAGACGTCGACGCGGCAGTACGCAAGGTACCAAACCCGCTGGATCCGCACCAAGATTGTGCCCCTCCTCCAAGAGCAGCGCGGCGCACTGGACCGCCTCTTCATCATGGACAGCACCAACGTGTCTCAATGGTCGACCAACGTCGCTGAACCGGCCGTCGATATCGCGAGGCGTTTTCTCGAGGGCGACGCCATACCCGCGCCCGCGGACCTGTCGGAGACGGCGCGGGAGGTGCTCAGGGAAGCGACGGCGCAGACGGAGCGCACGCTGTGTCGGCGGACGTGTGAGGTGTGTAAGACGACGTGCGTCACGGAGCAGGATTGGACGAAGCACATCAAGAGCCGGCGGCACAATGTACTGATGAAGAAGACGAAGAGGAGGGCGCTAGTTCCTGCTGAGAGGCCCTTGGCTGTTGTACCTGCCGAGGTTGATCGAGAGAGGGCTGGCTCTTCAGCGGATCGAGGATCGAGTCCCGAGGTCGATGGGCTGGGCATATTTGATGCGGCGTCGTGAGACAGTAAAATTCTGGCAAATCAAGAAGAGAGAAAGACACAATCTTGAGAACTCTGCTCATCTCTCCACGTCCCTTGCCCGTTCGTCGGACATGTCATCTTCTGCTCCTCCCGAAATCATGGGTCTCGTGAGGGTCGGCTCGTCCTAGCTCCGAATGCAACCCCTCTTTCCCACCCTCCCTCAGTTGTTCACCACCACCATCACCACTGCCCTTTCTCCGTAGCAAGGCAACAAGAGCAAAGCTTGTTCTCTGACCGACCTCAACCAAGGTATGACCCGCGTATTTGCTGCTTTATTCGATCATTCAATGAAGGCGTTTGGAGCATACGCGGCATGGGATGTGATTGAATCGTATTCGCTTCGTCCCCTAATGTTCTTCTGGTTCTTTTGTCGTCCTTTTTGTCGTCCTTTTTTTTTTTACTTATTATTTAGAGCTTCGGATGGATAAGCATAAAACCTAAGGTATGTACTAAGCTGGACAAGCTTTCGCACTTCTCTTTCGCATAAGGTACGTCGCTCGTTGGGTGTCTTCCCGCTTTCCCTCGGCATTGTCGTATTCCTCGCTTTCGCTTTCCCCTCGAAAAAGCGAGCTAAACGACGGGAGCGAGCAGCTAGGGCGTATAGAAGCCAAACGGTCATCTCCACTCGTTTTGATTGCTTCTTGCTTGCTCCAGAAACGTGAGGCACAATGGAAACTTGACGTGCCCAAACATCAGATCAGCGGACCGGATCTGCGAGAGAGGGAGGGAGGCGGTGATGCCTTGTTCATGTTGGAGTTTTTTTTTTGGAATAATTTTCTTGGGAGCCGAATCCCGTTGAACAGGATGGAAAATGGCATTTTCACAGGCCCTCTTCTTCTCTTTTCCCTTCCTCTGAAATTGTCATTGTACGGCCAGCCCTCTCGAAAGGGCGATTTATACAAAACCGCTGCAAGGCTGCTCTTGCACTACAATTTCAACGCTGGCCGAGTGGTTGCATTGATTAGGGGCATGTCGACGCAGGCATTCTGCTTTTGCTAGCGCGGCGTCAGCACTGCATTTTTAACCCCGCCCAAGAGCTCTTGAACGTCCAATCTACCCCGCCAAAATGCCAGACTGGGCGATTCACTGCATTTTTAATCGCTCCAAAGGCAATCAGAGGCTGGATATACAGATGATGCCCTTAAAGTGATGCCAGTTATTAACTTTCAGACGCGAAAGATAAAACTGGTCATCAAATCATTGCGCCCTACAAGAATAATTTGGACTTTTCGATTGCATGGCGTACTTTTTTTTAGAAACCAAATCTACAAAACAAGCCGCACCTTTATATCCCAGTAGCAGTACTAAAAACAGTTTTGTAAAGGTAGAATGATCTCGACCTTCCTCCCCGTCCCCTTTACTTCTCAATCTCGGCCTTGACCCAAGCCTCCAAGCCGCCCTTGGCGATAACCTCCTGCACATTGGGCGGGAGCTCGCCGACTTTGACGCTCCAACTCTCCCCGTTACCCTCGGTGACAATCACCTTGGACCTCCTCAGGTCCCAGCAGAGCCTCCAACCCGTACGGCGCGTGAGCACCTTGTCCTCCCCCTCGTTCTTAAACGTCTCGCGGAGACGCTGCACGAGCTTGGGCACCTCGACGCCCATGAGCGCGTTGTTGATGCTGTTCCTGCTAAAGATGTTGCCGAAGCTGCCCGACACGACCAGGGGGATCTTCTTGGCCAGGATCGCCGTCGCCGCCTGCTCACGCGAGCTGCCCGTGCCAAAGTTGAAGCCCGAGACGAGGATGTCGCCCGCCTTGGCGATGTCTCGGAAGGAGGTGTCGTAGTTCTCCATGCACACCTCGGCCATCTTCTCGACGGAGACGTTGTCTTGGTAGGTGTACTTGCCTGTTTTTGTTTGTCAGAAAAAAACATAGTACGGCGGGACGGGCTTTCACTGCTTCACGTACCAGGGTAGATTCCATCCGTGTTCATGTTATCTTGGTCGCAGAAGATGATCTCGCCTTCCACCTTTTCGGGGAACCCGGGAAGGACTTCAGTCAAGCTGTCTTCCTCGCTCTCCGCGGCGGCAGCTGGTTCCTCAGCAGTAGGAGCACTGTTGATTCCCTTTTCAGACTCGGCGATCATGCTGTCGGCTTGCGCAATGAGCTGGTCGAGGGCGTCGTCGATGCTCATTGCAATGTCGGCGGTGATGTCACCGACGCCCTCGCCGATGATGACCTTGTCCACACCCTTGGGCTGTTGGTACCAGCCAGGACCAGCGATTTTGCCCTTCAAAGCACTCGCGGCGACGACCTCAGGGCTGGCCAGGTAGGCTTTGGCTTCGGTGGAGCCCATGCGGCCCTTGAAGTTGCGGTTGCTTGCCGAAATTCCATTTTCGCCCCTGAAATGCACGTTAGCCAATCTTTCCGACGGAAGTACAGCAAAAGTACTACGTACGGTTCAAGAAGGCCGGTTCCCTATATTGGAAAAAAAAAATTAGAATATTATCATCATTCACAATAGGAATATTGAACTTACGAGACCGATGCACGGGCCACAGCCTGAAGGTAATACGGAGCAGCCTGCGTCGACAAGTGTCTGCCAGTCGCCAGCATCCTCGGCAGCCTGCTGCTCGACAGTCGACGCCGCGGCAAGATAGAAGGAGACACCCGGTGCAATCTTGGGGATTTCTCCGTCCTTGGCGGCCTCACGGAAAACGCGTGCCGCAGCGGCAATGTCTGATGCTCGCGAGTTGGTACACGAGACGAGGTAGGCCTTGTCGATCTTGATGTTCTGAGCCTCTAGATCCTTCAGGGGTGTCGCGACCTTGACGGAGTTGGGGCCGGCGACAAAGGGGGACAGGGTTTCGAGGTTCAGGTAGAGGGACTTGGCGTATGTCGCGCCAGCGTCGGCTGTGAGGGGGTTCTCCAGCAGCTCGTCGACCCGCTCGTGAGTCCAGCGGCCCTTGACAGCGGCGTCTGTGTTCAGCATGGCTGCTGTGGTGGCCTTCGCACGGAGCCATCTTTCCAGTGTCTCGTCGATCGGGAACAGCGCCGACAAAGCGCCCCATTCCGTGCTCATATTCGCCACCGTTATCCGCTCGTCGACTGGGATGCTCCGCATGGTCTCCTCGGAGCCGGTAAACTCGAGGGCGTGGTTCAGAACGTCGTCTTTGTTGAATAGACCGCAAAGCGCAACGATGATGTCCTTTCCAGTGACACCCGGGGGCTTCACTCCGGTCAAAGTGATCTGAGCAACGTTAGTGATGACCCCTGAGCGACGGCTCGCAGTCGACTGACCTTGGCAATCGGGGGCACTTGGTACCATGTGCGGCCAGTGGCCCAAATGGCGGCGGCATCTGTTCGTACGACCGCGGTACCAAGGCATCCAATTCCACCATAGTGATTCGAGTGACTGTCCGATGCGACGGCCAAGGTGCCTGGCCATGCATAACCTTCCTCCACCATAATTTGGTGACCGATTCCACGCCCCGCCGGGTAGAAAACCACACCATGCGTCTTGCCGAGCTCCTCAATCTTTTTGTATTTCTTCAGGTTGGCCTCACTCTTGTTTTGGACATCGTGATCGAGGGTCCAGACGAGTTGTGAGGGGTCGTGAATCTTGGTGGCTCCGATGGAGGCAAACTTGTTGCTGATGGGCGCCGTGTTGTCATGAGACATGCACTTCCCTTCCCGTTGTAAGCATTCGCGCTTCTAGTATTGTGCATGTATGGGAGAGGCAGTGGTATTCACCAGGAGAGAGGGTGACGTAGTCGCCTGCGCGGACTTTTTTGCCGGGCGCGAGACCGAGCGAGTGCCGCTGGACAATCTTCTCCGTCAAGGTCTGGGGGTTTTCAACCTTGGGAGCGGATGTGTAGAGGAAGTCGGTCGCGTTCGCAGCGTTTTCGAGTTGCGAGTGGAAGGCATACTGGCGGGGACGGGTCGTCGTCGTGTAGAAACTGGGGCGGATCGATCGCGAGGGAAGTTGGCACTGTTGCAGGAGACTGCGGCGGCAGCTCCTGGCGGCGTGGAGCGCCACTGTTCTTCTCTGTTGCACTCATACAAACAATGAGATTAGCAGTGCTTCTATATACCGGGGGTAGTAGTAGCAGAGACCACACGTACAATGGGCAGCATTGCGACTTCAATTGGGGCGGCCAATGGCCAAAAGTTCAACAATTGGTCTGCGGCAACTCGCGATGTCGTCCAGTCGTGACTGTTCGGTAGCCGGATCCAAAAATTTGGAGTCTGGGGAAATGACCGATGCCGGGGTGGGGCTCCCGCTGCCGTTTGCTGAAATCGCCTTTGGGTGCTGTCTGATTGGATAGCTGCGGCAGGAGCTCGGCATTACAATGTTCTTACCGGCCTCGACTGATTTCGATCTAATCGATAAGATAGGAATATCTACCTGCCTCAATGACACCAGATCATCCGAAAAGCGAGCAATGCGACGTGGACCTGGGCCGAATACGACGCCGCATCCACGCCTGATCCACGCCTGCCAGCACCCGAAGTACGGAGATAATAGCCGGCTCATCACATAAGTCCCGCCGTGGGCTGCGGGGCTCTTACAACATATGACTGGTTTACACACCACCTACCTAGTACAGATCAGCCTTCGTTGAGGGAAAAAAAATTCTAACAACTCGGTTCCCCAGCTTGCTCAAACTTTCGAGGGTTGAGGTACAGCTAGACAACCAGAGCAGGTTTTCAGCAGTGAACATTAGTCTCTTGTTGAAGACATTTTGAGGTGGGGATCTGGCTGCTGTCACCGCGACTCCCCATGGTGCAGGGCAAGACAGCACGTGCCAGTGGTCACTTGGTCAAGTTCGGGAGGAGGGGGGGGATTAGATGTCACAAGGTGTGTACAAGTTGCACATCTCTCTTCGGGAGCTGCTACCCGTGCACAAGACTATAAGCTGCATGCAAGGGAACGACGGGTTAAGGTAGTCTCTGCACAATCTGCAGCCGCCGTAAAACTCATGGATTCGGCGAGCAAAGCCTTCGCACTTCGGGCAGCATCTGGAATCCTGGATCTCGGCTTGCGTTCGATTTGTCCAAGGTCGGGCCTGCTTCCCTCCGATGGCTGCCCACCATTTTCTCAAGTAAGGCACCCTGTGTCTATTACGCTTGTCAACTGACAGCCACAGGATGGATTCTTACCTGCTATTGACTTGGCTACCACCCTGCTTACGGCAGAGGGCAGAGGCAGACGCTCTTGCAAGTTGTCCGGCTCCGTGCCTTGACGCAATGCCTCAGCCGCTGCTCATGCCAATCATGAGGCCATGGATATAAGGTAGGAGCCAACCATTGCTTGGCTTCCCAGCGTTATTTTCAGTCTTATAACTGGGCACCTACTTAGAGTCTCCGTACCTACTACTGTGTAATTAGCGCGCGGGAACCCAGAGCCAACGGCCGGTGGATGTGAAGAGTTGTCCGCTATTTTCGACACCTCTCCAAACCTGGAAGGCAGGGAGGGGACTTTGATTCTCTCACCTTTTCTCAAATGGCAGTTTGGTGGCTCATGCTGCTTCATGCCGCATACCTAGGTCCCGGACCTCTTGTTTCCATCTGGGCTCACCTTCCATTGCCCCCTCCGTCCAATGCTCGTCCGTCAATTCCCCTCCGCAACCCACCAAAATCCTGTCAGGAACTCTCTCTCCCCCCATCTGTCACTCCCGCCTTCCCTGCTTTCCTGGCTTCCCAGTCGTGCCATTGTCTCTCTCCAGCTCCCTGGACCTTGGATCTCCCACCTCAACTTCTTGTCTTCCAATTGTTCCCGAACTCCATCCGGCGCAACCCATTCCCGTCCCACGTCACTGTGTTGCTTTGCAAAAATCTACGTAGTATCGACTTCCATCCCGCCTTTCCCTTGCTTAATGCCCTGCATCGGCATCGGCATTGCTGCCACACTACGGATACCTGAACTGACTTTGCAGCTGGCCGCCGTTGAGAAACCCTGGAGCTGATCTTCCTTGATTCTCGAACCCCCGATCGTTTCCCCATCGGCACACCCACTCATTTCCAGCCAGTACCTACGTAGGAGAGGCTAGCCCACAGGTTCCAGACCTCGGTGGATCGGTTCACACAGCATTCACACAGGTCGCCGCAGCTGTCTCAGGGTTCTCTTACCTTCCATCGGCCGCTTTGGACCTGCCGCCGCTACTACCTTACTATACGGATAGACGCAAAGTACGACTCGACGGACTGCGACTGCGACTGCACATGCACAAAGTCCACCTGGGGCATCTGGCCTGCGTCTGTAGTGGGAGGGTATTGGCGTCATTCCTCCGCCGTTTCGTCCGTTCCCTCCGACGACCTGAACAAACCATCACCCCCCTCCTGTCCTGAATCTGGTGGACTTGCCCTTGTCTTTTCTCTTCCCCCCATTCTACCGAAGCTTTTGCTATCTGTCAAGTGCTTTTCCAGAGAGGTGTTTGTTCCCCAATTGTTCGCAACCGCAACACCATCGTCCCTGTCAGAATTACGACGGAAACTCTCCTCTCGTCAGGGCAAGATTGAGCACAAAGAGCAGAAACGCCGGGTCTTGCTGAGCAACATAGAATCGAGTCCCAAGAACCAGCCAGCCGGGTATAGGAGAACCGAAGAGAACCCCCAGTGAGACGCTCCCGGCACAGACGAGCGAGTGGTCACTTCTCCATCTTGGCTGGGTTGCGCTGCATCGGCTTTCCTGGAATCCCGACGAGTCAGGCCGAGTGACTGTGAGACCCGCGCCCGTTTCCGCTGCTGGACCACCCTGCCTATCATACACCACACACCATATACACCATACTACAGAAGTCCTTGACTCCAATTCCACAAGGTACTCCTTTCTCTTGGCCCGTTGTCGCCGACGCCGTCCTGCTACTACGCCTCATCGCCTCACCTTACGTTACCAGACTACACGTCTCAACTGCCTCTCTAACCCCTTGTCGTTCCTCTTTCGCAATCCGCCGCCGCGTCCCGCACCGCCGCGGCCCTCCCCCCAAACTCCACGCCCACTTCACTCCTCACATTCACAATCACATTCACATCTGCCGCCCAGCCCTGCCACATCCCATCCCACCCAACACTCCCAACTCATATCTCACCAGGAACGGGTAGGGTGAATAAAAGCGAGCCCAGGGGTTCGAGGAGCCAATATCCATATATACGGCCAGACATCCTCTTGTCCCGCATCATCGAAGCATAAGCACACGCGTCTTTTCAAACAAGGCGCCCTGGTTTCCAACCCAACCTACCTTGTCTTGTCTCGACCCCGGGCCAGGCCTCTCGTCCTCTCGTCCGCTCGTCCCGGACCAGACCACGATCAACCCTCCTACAGGTTGCCTTGAGAGACTCACAGACACCCTCCCCTCTCCCACTTTCTTTCGCCGCACCGCCCTCCCGGGGAAGCATATCCATTCAAAGTCGCTGTCTCTGGTGTCCATCTCCGCCTTGGTCCGTCATCGACAACGCCTGGAACCATCCAAGCGACTCAAGGAAACCCGGTATCCCACTTTCCCTGCCAATTTCTAAGCCAAAAATTTTACCTTTGGCACTGCGCCAGATCACAGCACGCGCCCGCCTTGTGTGAACCTCGCCAAAGAAGGAGGGCTCCTTCATCCCACTTTAAGGTCACGTCTAACTCCGTTTGCATTTATTACCCCTCGGGCCTCAGCCCGTCGCCACATCTCTATTTCCTCATCTTTCCCACTAAAACGGACTCCTTGCAACTATCTCGCCGACGGACTCCGCCCACCAGCGAATCATCCATAAGGGCCTCGCGCCCACGCGTGTCAAATACTTGGTTGGGTGTTGTCGCCCCCATCCATGGACGACGCCGTCCCGCTTGACACTCTTCCCGTGGCAACTACTGCATAACGACGAGGCTATTCAGCCTCAGCCCTACCAATGAGTACCAACTCCAGTCAGCACAAGAGCCAGAGGGTTCTGGCCTGTGTTCTCTGCCAACATCGCAAGATCAAATGCGACCGAAACACACCCTGCTCCAACTGTATAAAGGTGCGCCGCCGTCGTTGTACGGACTGCCGAATACGTGCTGACTCGTATTAGGCCAACGTCACATGTACACCTTCAACACCGGCTCCCGCACGCAAGCGCAGGAGGCCGAACCAGGACTTGCAAGAAAGGCTCGCCAGATGCGAGGCTCTACTAAAACATTATGCCACGACAGGTAGCGATACGACGCCTCCCGCGACGGCGACGACTTTTTCGCCGACAACCTTTGCCACACCTTCATCGGCTGGCCCGTCGCCGAGTATGACCCAGCTGCCTCTGCCCTCGGGGTCCGCTTCTGTATCCGAGGACACTTCTCCACCGGCTACATCCTGGAAACCAGCAGGCAAAGTGGTTGTTGAAGATGGCAGCGTCCGGTTCATGGATAGTTACGTGTGGGCAACAGTGCATGACCAGGTGCGTAATCGCGAAGCTTGTAGTCGGATGCGCTGGCTTTCTACGCATCGCGCGTTCCCTGCATGCGCCGGCTAGGTCTGACCTCGTCGTAGTTGACCGCAATGCGACAAATCATCGAAGCCGAGGAAGAGGAACAGAGTGTTCTTGGATCGGACGCCGTAACCCCCGACGACAATGTAGATCTTCTTTTGAACGATATTGCCGCCATCGACTTGGAAGATGTAACTCCGTCTCCCGTCCAGATATTCAGACTTTGGCAGGTGTTTTTGGAAAGGGTCAACCCCATCACCAAACTCATCCATGTGCCCAGCCTGCAACCGCTGGTCGTGGAAGCAGCTGCAAACCACTCCAATGTCGCGCATAATGCCCAGGCTCTACTCTTTGCCATCTACCTTGTCGCATCTCTCACCATGACCGAGTCGGAAGCCAGACAGATGCTGGATATATCGAAAGAGGAGGCATTCAAGAAGTTCACTGCCGGTGTCAAGGCGGCCTTGACCAAGGTCAACTTCCTCAAGAACCATGATTTAATGACGCTGCAGGCCTTGATATTGTATTTGGTCAGTCGAGTTACCATCGGCCGAGGGGGTCAACTTGTCATACTAACCGTCAACAGGTGTCCCTCCAAGGGCGATATAATCGACATGCGGCTTGGGTACTAAGTGGTGTGCTGATTCGAATTGCGCAAAAGATGGGTCTTCATAGGGACGGAGAGCTGCTCAACCTCACGCCATACGAGACGGAAATGCGACGACGACTCTGGTGGCAGATTATTATGTTGGACACAAAATACGCCATGGTCTCTGGATTCTGCGACACATTGCTGCCATGGAACTGGGACACGCAGACGCCGCAAAACGTAAACGATGCCGACCTCTTCCCCGGATCGACAGAGCTCGTTCTGCCTCGAGAAGGCCCAACAGAAATGGCGTTCTGCCTGCTTTTGTACGAAGTCGGTCGTTTCATTGTCGAGAACCGCATCCCCGATTTCGAGGCGGTCGTTCTCGGCGCCATGGAGAACGACAGCCAGGATTCCCAATTGGCGACCCAGACTTCGCTTGCCAAGTACCGAGCATTGGTCGACAATCTAGATGCGAAACTAGTGGCCCTCGAAAAACGATATTGCGACCCCCTGGCCGGAAACATCCACATCGTAGCGACCAAAATTCGGTCCATGATTATTGATAAGATGCGGACTATGATGATTCCCATGCGCGAACTGCCAGAGTTTGGCACCGAGGTCTTCAACGTACAGGACAATATGTTCCGGATATCGCTCATGCACCACGAGCACAATGTCGAATTGTACGACTTTATGGAGAACACTGGTTTTGTATGGTTCTTTAAGCTGCATTTCCAAATCGACGTCTTCATCGTCATGGCCGGACAGCTATACAAGAGACCGACAGGCAAACTGGCCGACCGCGCATGGAAGGTGGTTGACAGGATATATCAGTACCACGAGGAGTTATGGGACATGTCGAAGAAGGAGAATACGCAACTGGGCGTATACATGCTCAAGGCCTGGAGGGCACGAGAGCGCGCGCTGGTTCAACTTGGCATACCCTACGATACACCGGTTGCCGTCCCGCGACTGCAGGATACCGTGCCTCAGACGAGCTCGGAAGCTTCGTCTTGCGGACCTTCGCCGGCACAGACGATGAAGATGGAGATATCCCCGAGGCATGACCAACCCATGGACCAATTCCTCGGCAATTTCCTCGACACTACAAACTTTTACGATTTGGACATGTGGGCAGACTTGGGCGTTCCCAACGGCAACATGAACCAGCAATCTTCGTCAAACGTGTTTGGACAATTTGGGAACTTTGGCGTGCCACCAACGAATAGAGGATGGTGAACGTGCGGTATCATTGGGATTTTGCGTCATACTGGTTGGTGCCTAGTGGAAAATAGGGAAGCAAGGGGTAGTGGTCCCGGTCAGGGTAGGGACCGGACAACTGCGATCAATCTTTCGTTTTGAACTAGAAAGAGAGGGGATTACTCGGGAATTCTTTGGATATGGATTGTCTTTCGGTGTTAGGCTTTACAAAGAGACAACTCTCCCAACCTCTGTGACGATAGTACCCCTGAGATGACGAAACTACTTAATGGTAAATAAGACGGGAGTCTATGGAAACCGGTCCCCATGCATGGCAGAGCCTACAAGCCATTGGCATGATGATTGTTGTCAGCCCCTGTCGAGCTGAATGAACATGTCGTCTTGGGTGCCTACTCGCCGGAAAAGGGGTAAGATTGGCGGACATCTTTTTTTTCTCCAATCGGCGAATTGCGGAAAGGTTGTCGAAAATGACACGGGTTTTTACGGTTCTTGCGATGTCATCCAGCCTATGTTGGTACTTGTCCGCCTGCCCTACCTTGCCTGCCACTCAGGATACGAGACTTGCATATATGCATTCCTCTGAGCTTCCGACGCGGGCAGGCAGACGAAGCGACTCGTCAGTCTAATACCCGGTCGCTAAACTCCCGTCTTCTGCTATAATAACTGGGGCAGGGGGCACGTCTGCCGAATGCCCGTCTCATTTGCTCCCCAAAAAACGACAGAGCAATCTGGCCAGATCGGAGGGGACTATCTGTAAATGGGAGCAAGCTCCTGTAGGTATGCCGACCTTTGACCGTATGGCCGAGAACTGAGCCACCGGAAGACGACGTCATCCCGGGGGTTCGTAGGACCCCCGAGAATTTACGATTCTGGTGACATGAATAGAAAAAAAACCCGAGGCGGAGGGCTCCGATGCGTCGGGTCCGGGAAAGGAGGCCGCCCGTGCGAAATTCTGCGAAGAAAATTAAGAGTCACACTCTCCATTTCTTTTTTTAGGCGAGTAACATCCGGAAAACCAAGCCATGAATCAGGGGACCGAGGAGAAGAGACGGAAAGGAGGAGAAGCGTAGGTATTTGCGGGCTGTGTTTGAACGGAGCGGAGCGGGATACTTACCCCGACGGTCCGCCATGATTCTGAACCAGTGACCGGTGGCTCGGGCTCCTCGGGGAACGAAGAGCCCGTGAGCCGAACCTTGTTGGGCCATCAGGTACGTACCTGGTTTGGTCCAAATATCCCCGAGATGTGCTATGTCTGGTTTAGGTAGTTTAAGCCTGTGTAAGCCCCCTCCCCCTTTCTATTGTCTCCTGAGCCACACAACCCCCAACGCAATACGTACATCCCGGACTAATGATGACGAGCCTTACGGCCTCTCACCTGGAGCTTACCAAAGCCCGCTCGGCCCCGTCTGGCCTGATGGCAGCATAGACCAACGCCTCTCGAGTCTTTCCCTGCGGTCGCCTTTTCCTCTTCTAGCGGCGCGTGGCGTCGACTAACTCGACGGTGCTGCTCTCGTCAAGGCATTACTGATTGCAACTGGTTTAGAAAGGCTTTAGTGGGTCGGCATTTTCAATGCCGCTTGCTTATGCATGCGTGTTTATCCTCTCCCATTGCCCTATCTCGAGAAGCTGAGACACCGAGAATGGTCGAGTGTTTGTTGTTGTTTTGGCTAGCCTGGCCTACCTGTGGCTGTGGGTGAAGTATGCAACAACATGCGACTAAGGAAACATGGGGAATGAAGATGGCCTAGACTTTTTTCAGGTATGGCGTTTGGGAGGTCGCGTTGCTAGAACGAGCCGGCTTGCGGGAGCCAAGATTGGCGGCTCTTTTAGGACGGGGGAAAGGGACTTTGGTGGGTTTCTCTCATTGGGCGGGAGGTAGTAAGGAGGTTAAGAAAGAAAGGGAAGGAGAATAGAAATCCCCGACGGGTGTTAGACGTGAGTCGTTCTCGTCATGCGGACATGCGTTAGACTGGTTTCTTTCACGACCGGACGATGGTTGTTCCCTTTTTGGGCAGGAACTTTGGTTTTCTCGTTTGGAATAGGCAGCGGTTTGTATTGTTTGAAGGGAAATGCGATATAATTACTCAGGGTGATCGGTTTTTCTTGGAAGGTGTTCATTGCCTACTTGTCTCGACATCATCATCATTCATCTCCTCCTCTGATTTTGACGCCAAAAGGGATTCTGAGACTCGATTACATTAAAGTATAGACGTTTGGTTGATCCTGGACTAAGAGGGTGTCGACCACCAATCGAAAACAAGACAAACGACTTTCGGGAGCAAGACGGGGAAAGTAAAAGTTGTCAAAGGTGTCTGATATCCCTGGGTTGGACGACTTCGAACGACCGAACGACCGAACGAACGATTGAACGATTGGAATCATCAACATGTTTTTCAAAAAGCGCGACAAGGGCGCCGTTCCCGCAACGACACCGACGAGCGAACCACCCGCCTCATCGCGGACGAGCAAGATCCACGATGACGAGGAACAGCAACAGCACCCTGCGCAAAATGCTCTCACGCATACGTCGACGACGCGCTCGATCCAGTACCCATCCGGCGTGAAGCTCTTCCTCATTATGCTCTCCATCCTGGTGTCCATGTTCCTCGTCGCATTGGTAACCCCCCTTCTTCCCCCTCCTCCTACGCTCAACTCCCTTTTCCACGACTAACACCACACAGGACCGCCTCATCATCGCAACGGCGATACCCCAAATCACTGACGAATTCCACTCCGTCACCGACATTGGCTGGTACGGCAGCGCCTACCTCCTAACAACCTGCGCCTTCCAGCTCCTCTTTGGCAAGCTCTACGCCTTCTTCCCCATCAAGCGCGTCTTCCTCTGCTCCGTCGTCCTCTTCGAAATCGGCTCCGCCGTCTGCGGCGCGGCCCCGAGCAGCGCCGCCTTCATCGTCGGCCGTGCCATCGCGGGCATCGGCGGCGCGGGCATCTTTGCGGGGACCATTGTCGTCATGGTCCACTCCGTCCCGCTGCACCGCCGTCCCAAGTACCAGGGATCCTTTGGCGCCGTGTTCGGCATCGCCTCCGTCTTGGGCCCGCTGCTGGGCGGCGCGTTGACGACCAAAGTCACCTGGCGGTGGTGCTTCTACATCAACTTGCCGTTGGGCGGTGTCGCGCTGCTGGTCGTTGCGTTTGTGATGAGGCCGCCGGAGCAGGACCTGGCCGAGTCTTCGTTGTGGGAAAAGTTGAGGCAGCTTGATTTCCCGGGGACGTCGGTTTTCATCCCCGGGGTTGTGTGTCTGCTTCTTGCGCTGCAGTGGGGTGGTGTCAAGTATGCTGTAAGCATCCCGATCTTTCTTCCCTGCCTTTATGGATTGCGTCTTTTATCCTTGCCCCTCCTCCCCCCTTTTCCCTTCCTATATTCCTCCCATATGAACGTATATGCTAATGAAGCATAGTGGAGCAATGGGCGGATAGTTGCCCTCCTAGTACTCGCCGCCGTACTCCTCCTATCCTTCATCGCCATCCAGATCCTCCGCCCCAACACGGCAACCGTCCCCCCGCGCATCATCCGCCAACGCTCCATCGCCTTTGCAGCCTGGGCGGCCTTCTCCCTCGGCGGTCAGATGATGCTGGTCGCGTACTACCTCCCCATCTGGCTGCAGGCGATCAAGGGGTTCTCGGCCGTCGAGTCCGGCATCCGCACGCTGCCGCTGGTGCTCTCCCTGACCGTCTTCGCCGCCGTGACGGGCGGCATCATTACAAAGATTGGGTACTACACGCCCGTGATGCTGGTCGGCATCTGCATCATGGCCGTCGGCGCGGGCCTGCTGACGACGCTGCGCGTCGACACGAGCACGGCCAAGTGGGCGGCGTACCAGGTCGTCTTTGGCATCGGGCAGGGCATGTCGTTCCAGGCGCCGAACCTCGCCGCGCAGACGGTGCTCACCCTCAAGGACGTGCCTGTGGGCGCGAGCATCATGTTCTTTTCGCAGACGCTCGGCGGCGCCGTGTTTATCTCTGTCGGGCAGACGGTGCTTAACAACGAGCTCGTGAAGAGGATTCGGGGCCTGCCTGGGCTCGAGGGGATCAACCTGCAGACCACGGGCGCGACATCGCTGACGGATCTGCCGGACAATGTGAGGGGACCCGTTCTGGAGGCGTATAACGGGGCGCTGAGGGTCGTGTTTGTGGTTGCGCTGGTGATGGTTTGCTCGGCCTTCATCGGGGCCAGCGGCATGGAGTGGAAGAGCGTGAAGAAGGAGCAGCAGGCGAAGAAGAAGGCCAAGGAGGATGCCGAGGCGGCTGAGGCGGCGGCGGCGGCTGAGGCGGCTGCCGTTGGCGGGGTGTCCGGGGTTGCGGCGGCTACCGTTGCTGCTGCGGCGCAGAGGGAGAAGGAGGAGGAGCTCGATGAGGGGAGCGAAAGGGACGTTGACGATGTCGAGAAGCCGAGGGGGCGGAGTCTGAATCGCGATGAGACGGAAAAGGGGGCTGATGATGACGGTGCGATCTTGAGACAGGGGGATGAGGTTAGGGCGGTTGAGGGAACGAAGCATATTTAGATGGATGGGAATGGACGGATAATGAACGGATAATGGACAGATCATGGGACCATGGAAAGGATATTTTTGTATGATAGAGCACATGATACCCCTCTCGATGTAAAGAAACGTAATGTAATGTATTGTAGATTCAACCTGAAGGCAGGGATTTCCACCCATCCAACTCTGTCAGCTAAAGTGGCTGTTCGTCGTGCTTTTCATGTGTACTTGGCTCATAAGAGACCAGAAGATGTCTTCTAGAAAGGCAAGGAAGGTGAGACATCCTAACGGATGTGGGAGATAGTCGTCAGCGATGAGCGGCCACAAACGGCCTCCCATTGCCGTTTGCTATCATTTGTTACAGGGGCAGAGTTCGTTCCCCTTTTGCCACATCATTTCATAGCCCTGGTTCCGAGGTAGAGTACCTATCTGGCTCACGACATTGTCTTGTCTTCATCACCAGGCCTAGGCCGATTGCAAGACTCCCAACGGCTGCGGTTGGTTTGCCGAGACGAATGCTCGCGAACGCCAAAATCAACAATCCAAACAGTGTCAGGCAAATGACGAGCGAGAAGCCGCCTTTGAATTCTGCAACTTGAAAGTTGGAGATGGATCTTTCTGGTGTTGCAGTCAGATAGGCGTGTGAAGTATATAGCCTGGGACAACACATGGGCACGCAAGCTGCAATCTTGCAGACAAACGCCTTCCGCCCCTGTCATCGTGCATCAATAATGCCTCCAAACGACTTAGAAGCCCTTCCCACCATGTGCCTCATAATTCATCTTGAGATAGGACTTTCCCTCCAGATTCCGACAGCTGTGGAAGGCCTGCATCAGAGTCACATTTCACCCATCCCATCCCACTCTGTCGACCGAACTTCATCTTCACCTTACCACCACCTCTCAGACCCCATCACCAAGTCGTTTTACAATCACTCTCATGATGTCTGCCTCCAAAATCAGCCCTGATGCTCCCGCCAAGAAGCCCATTATCGTCGGCCTCTACGGCCTTCCCGGCAGTGGCAAGTCTTACGTCCTGCGCCAACTCAAGATATATTTCGGGACTGGAAATCGTTTCCAATACTACGAGGGATCCGAAATCATTGGAAGTCTCGTCAACGGCGGTTTAGAAGCATTCAAGCGCCTCAGTGCCGACGCGCAAAAACTTCAACGCCAACGAGCCATCCAATTCATTGCCGACGAATGTGTCACTACTGGACGTATTGGCATCGTCACCGGCCACTATTCTTTCTGGGATGACATGGATTCTTCCCGTGAGGTCATAATGACTGCGAACGACCTGCGCGTCTATACCCACGTCGTCTACCTGGACACCCCCGTCGACTGGCTTTGGGAACGACGAGGTGTCGACGACGGTCGACTCCGGCCTGAGCTTCCGACCGAGCATCTCTCCAGGTGGCAGAATTCCGAGATGGTCGATCTATCCCGTCTTTCCCGTCTGGAAGGCATGCAATTTATGCCGCTGTATCTTCTTGAGACTCAATCCTTGGATGGGATTGTGCGCATCCTTCGCAACATTGACACGCAGGATGAAGAAAACCTCCACCGCGTGAGAAACGAGACGGATAGATTGCTGTTTCCGAACCGAGACGCCAATCAGTTGGATGCGGTGCTGGTGTTTGACGCGGATCGAACGCTGTGCGCAGCGGACACGAGCACAATATTCTGGGAGACAATAAAATCATCTCGAAAGGAGCAGTATCGCCAAGACCAGATCGGGGGCGGTCAAGAGGCCGGTGAGAAACATTGGCTATGGGATGACCCCGAATGTCCTCTGAAGAAGCTATTCAGCGGAAAGAAGGGGTACTCCTTTGCTTCCTTCTACCATGCCATGTCTCTATACGAGTACGTCGACGTCGCTTTCGAAAAGACGTGCAAAGAGGTCGCCGCTTCTGTCACGATGCACCCAGAATTCATGACACTTATCCAGGCCATGAAGCACTATCAAAGCGTGGGCATCATCATTGCCACGTGTGGCCTTCGTCGAGTCTGGGAGCAGATCTTGGGGAGAGAGTGCCTCATGGATAGCGTCAAGATCATCGGTGGAGGCCGCATCACTGATGGCTACGCGGTGACCCCCGAGGCCAAGGCCGCTGTAGTCTCCCAGATCCAAAGCCACGGTGTGTCCGTCTGGGCTTTCGGAGACAGCCCGGTGGACTTGCCTATGCTCCAAGTTGCCGACCAAGCTATTGTCGTTGTGGGCGAGGAACGGTTTAGGAGCAACACTATGGACGCTGGCTTGGCTGCGGCTATCGCTGACGTCGAGGGCTTTCGTCCAAGACAGGCTTTGGTCCCGAATCACTCCCCACCCCGCCTTACTCTGGAGGAGTTGCCGATTATCGACATATCTGGCCAAGATTTCATCGACTCCATCGTCCATCGCTGCGCCAACCTCCGACTTCTACATGCCACGGACAGAAACGCAGCCAAGCTCCTCATGACCCCGACACGCGACGCGTCAGTGGCCGGCCCCTGCCTCAGAGCGGCCCATGGCCATGTTGGTAGGTACCTCGCCACCGAGTTTTTGACGGAGCTGCTTGGTCTTGAGGCATATCCTATACACCATGTTCAGGGCCACACGACCGATGGGCATCGGCTCGTCGACGAGAGCCGGACTTCCATCGTAGCATTGATGCGCGGCGGCGAACCAATGGCCTTTGGTGTCAGCGAGGCGTTCCCCCGTGCCATGTTCATCCACGCCAAACATGCCACCGAGCTCACGGAGGAGAACCTGCGAGGAATGAGAACGCTGCTTCTGGTCGATTCGGTGGTGAACAGCGGCAAGTCGGTCAAGGAATTCGTTGATCACATCCGGAGGCTGGATTCGAGCATCCGCATCGTTGTTGTGGCCGGTGTGGTTCAGGCCAAGGCTATCTCGACTGTCCTGGAACCACTTGCCAATCAAGGAGATCTCAGTCTAGTCGCACTCCGGCTGTCGGACAACAAGTTCACTGGAAGCGGCGGTACGGACACTGGCAACCGGCTTTTCAATACTGTACATCTGGATTGATGGCGTTGAGAGCAGAGGAGTCCAGCGGCGAATTTCAAGGTTGTATGAATTAGTAGGAAGGAACCATGATCCCATCGGGCATCCGTTTCGTTTGATGTGGAGATACAGGGTAAAAAGGGGGCAATGGTTATAATCAAAAAAAGAATGACTGAGTTTCTCACCACGTCAGCATGGTGATTAGTGCTCCACCGCCGTTCTTACTGCCATTCTTATGAGTCTTGCCCTGCTTCACCATGAGATGTGTATCTCGAGATTGATACCTGTCACGGCTGTCCGAATGTTTTTCCATTTCAACTAGTCCCTCTTGAAATCAAGTGAGTAGTCTCACATGGTTGACAAGATGGCAGATTTCCACAGGAGATCAAACCTGGCCAAACGAACCTAGATGCGCTGCATTGAAAGCTTTCAAAACAAGTGATACTATTTGTGCCAATGGTATATATCCACTAGATGATCTGCAATGGAGCTCTGTGATGCAGTCTTGCAAGCCACTCCTTGGAAGAGGAAGAGGCCAAGGAAATGCTCAGGGCACCATCTCAACCCTCTGTCTGTCTTCCTCAGCCGCCCTCTGCCTTTCCCTCCTCTTGATTTGATTCGCAACGATCAAGCAGAGAGCAAACACGGCAACGCAACAAAAACCAATGACGAACGCAAGTACGCCGGTCTCCATGACTGCTCGGCCTCTTTGTTGTTGGGCGAGGTGTATATCTGAGTGGTCGTCTTGCAGAAGAGAATGTGTCCTTCTGATCTGAAGCCAGTTAGGTACCAAATCCAAAGTCGTGTCTTGGTGAGAGAGGAATGAAGAATAGATACCGAGGATCACGGGTGATGGCAGGATTTGAGGTGCAATATCACCTTGCGTGAAAGTCCCCAGAGCTGTTGTGGTCTTTCTCGGGGTTCCCGAATTCGCCTGTATATTTTGGCGGTATATTCATTTGGCTGACTGCCGATATAGTCTGTCGTCCAAGTCTTCCGCTCAGTCAAATGATTCTTCGACATATATACCGTCTCAAGCAACAAAGCAGCTGTTGTCCACAGAACAGCATCCAGGCCAAAACAACAACCGCCCACAAAGAAGCAAACCTTGTGTGCTCCTCCTTTGACTGCTCATTCCCCCATATTCTCCCCTCGCCCAGCTTGTTCCATTCTGCAGGTTCTTCAGCGGGCTCTTCCCTCTTCGGCAAGCACGACGCAAGAGTATGTGTCTTGGTCAGTGTTGACCCTGTTCACCGCCCAAGGTAATCAATCACTCCATTGGTGACCAAAAAAAAAAAAAAAAAACACTCGCCTTGAGGCCAAGCAGCTGGTCCATCTGCCTCATCCTCGACCGTGGCCTTGACCGAATAGGGCTGCTATCCGGCACCTTCCTTCTTATTCCCACTCCTCACACTCCCACACTCCCACACTCTCACCTCACACATAGCTATTGTTTACTTTGACCTCCCACATCCGCACCTTTCTCTTCCTTTGGCAGAGGCGAGGAACGACTTGATCACTCCGTCTTCAGATTTTCGCACAAAACCAAAACAAGGCGCAAGATAAAAAGTGTGAGGTGAGAAAAAAAAATTGCTGCTCTGGAGGAATACCGCGTTCCTCCTCCCTCCCCCTTTTCCTCGTCCACCACCTCTCCCAGACAAGTATTTTTCTCCTTACTCCCCATCCATTACCTGATGACCGCAACAACAATAAGAAAAACGCTCACATTGTGAGTAGTTATTTTTCCACAGAAAGAGATCCCATTCACTTTTGTCTTTCTCTCTGAACAACAACGTCAACAAATACCACACGCCATCGTGCCAGTAGGTTAGCCCTTTTCCTTACCACTCAACCCCCCTCCACCTAGAAAAATAAAAACAACTCACCTACGTCTAGAACGAGCTCATACTAGAAGATCTTCGGGCTTTTCTGCTAGGTTTCTTTTTGTTGTTTGTCCAGCATTTTGCAGCCCGCAGCTCACGATACTGGCACTCCGACTCGACTCAGCAATACTCATTAGCTCACGATACCTTTCCCTGAGCCAACAAATAGCGGCATACTTCTGAGGCTCACACCGTCCCTTTCATCCATACTCAAAAGCCCCATCTCATTCACCATCATGTCCACCTCGGCCCTTCACTCCACCTACCTCCCCTACCTCCCCTCCCCTACCGTAACCTTCAAGCCCATCCTAGCATCATTCCCACAGCCCACAGCTACGCCAACAACCCTCATCACTACAGTTGTCAGACTCGTCCCCCGAGCCGTCACCACCATATACGTCACCCAGAGCCCCTCGGCCTCTGCAAGCCCAGACAATCCCAAGCTCCGCGACCCCGTCTACGGCGACCTGACCTGGTCCTACATCGTCCTCCTCTGCGTCCCCTTCATCTTCCTCGGCATCGCCCTCTTTACAAACTACCTGGAACGCCGCCGCCGCATCAGGGACAAGGACGTCGACATTGAGATGCAGACCTTCCAACGATATTGGTTCCCCTGGCGCGATCTCGGTAAGAACGAGGTCCCGAATGAGGTAAGTGAAAGCCCGTCTTCTGATGTTACTTCTCTCCCCTTTGATGCCCGAGGTGGCGATGGTCGTGGTGGTATTTCTGCTGCTACTGCTGCTGCTGTTGCTGCTGCTGCGACTGGTAGCGGCAGCACATTCCCTGGCATCTTCCTACTTGGAGAGCACCCTCGTCGCAGAAATCGTCGATGGGAAGCGTGGCACCCCAGTGACAAGACCCAGATACCTCCAATCACCCTCTACGACGATCCTCCCTCCTGGGGCCGACGGCACTTGTGGTCCGAAGTCATGGTCTACCCTTCCCACCTGAACCCCCTCGCTCGTCGCAAAACCCCCAAGCTCGACGACAGCTCCTCTCCTGTCAGCCCGAGCGCTACTGCCCCGAGAACCACTCCTCCGAAGACCGGTCTACCTGTAATCGAAGAGGGGAAACTCGCAGAGGGCGACATCACCAGCGCGCCAAGGCAGCTTCGATTCGCAGAGAGCACCACCCGCAACATCGATCCTCATCAACCCGGACCAGGACCAGAACCAGATACTAACCCACCACCCGCCCAGATCTACGGCCGCACCGGCACCCGTCGCCACTGGGGCCACGAAGACGATCACCCCCGTGAGAACACGAACCCGGCAGACGCGGCAGACGCAGCAGTCACAGCAGACGACGACGACGACGACGACAATAACACAGACGCCGACTCCACCACCGCACAGATAGGCCTCCGCTCCCCAACCGACCTCCCCATCGTCCGCGTCCACAGCGCCTTCGCCACGCCCCGGAGCAACTTCACCACCGCCAGCAGCAGCAACAACAGCACCTGGGCAGCGGGCCACATCCCCTCTTACTACGACACCTCCCCAGCATCCATCCAGCCACCGTCCAGCGCGTCTCCTTCTCCTGCTGCTGCTGCTGCTGGTGCTGGTGCTGCTGCTCTTGCTATCACCGCGGCTCCCCGTCGACCGCCAGCACAGGCGGCAGCAAAATCATCCAACGCCAACTCTGACGGTGTCTCCCCGCTATCCAGCGCAAGATCCTCCGCCATTCGCCGTCGAACCCCCGACACCGTCTCCAGCATATCCACCTCGGACTCCCCACCCCGCGTCGGCAGCTCGGCCTGGCGCGCGGCCTTCCGCTCCACATCCCCATCCGACTCTGAAGACGAGGGCGGCGGCGGCGTCGGCATCGGCAAGTCCCACTACGAGACGCCCGGCGCCCGAAAGGGAAAGCAGAACGCCAAGCCCTAGAACAGCGAGGCCTCTGCTTCTTCTGCTGCTGCTGTGACACTTCCCGCCGGAACAAACGAGACCGCAGCCAAGGACAAGGGCAAGGGCAGGTCCAAATCCAGAGCCGACGACGTAGTCGTAGTCGGAGCCAAGCCCGACATCAACGCCAAGAGAAAAGACACATGCATCTGCAAAGGCAATGGCAAAGCCACATATAGCGCCAGTGGCGGTGCGGTCGTCGCTGAATCATCCTCCTCCTCCTCCTCCTCCTCCTCCTCCTCCTCCTCCTCTTCGTCATGTTCAGCCTGCCCTCGGCACCCGAGCCACAACGGCGCCGTCGTCGGGACATCCCAGTCCACCAAGCAGCAGCCCACCGCGGCAACGGACGTCCGTGGTCCGGCGAACAAGGCCCATCGCAGATCAGTCACTGCGTGGCCCCGTGTCTACTCTGGCTGCGACCCGGTGGGATGAGGCACAACCCCCAAATCCAACTTCACCCACCCGGTCCATGTGTCCTCTGTCAAGTGAACTGAATGAGGCGAAACGGTACGGTCACAACTGAGACTCTTTTCTTCTTCGGAAGACGTGGGGGGGATAGGGAAGCGTGGGGGGGGGGGAAGGAAAGGAAAGGATGGGCGGCCGAGGTGTTCGCAAAGGAACAAAAAAACAACAACACCACCACAATGGCTACAATGCGGTAACGACGAACACATTCCTGCCGCTCCAATCCAATCCTATCTACCCAGCCACCAAAACTCACTCCCATATCATCTCAAGTCCCAACCACTTTCGTTCATATACAGCGCCGAACTCGCCTGGCAGGGGACCGAAGACCATGCCAAAGACGGTACCCCATCGTCCTTTTTGGTTTGTCGCGGGATGACACTGGGTGGTCAAACTAACTCGAACCTTTTTTCCTTTCTTCCATCTCCAGCCACACACCAGCCAGACAAGGTAATATCCCCGTCTCCTCTATCTCTCTTTCTCTCTCGCGCGCACATACACAAATCTTCTAACTTTTGGACCTCCGATATAGTTCGCCCTTCTCTTATTTCCTCTCTCCCAGTCGATATCTTGGATTGATGGATTGAGATGGTAAAAACCCGGAACTTTTGTCGCGAGAGTGTGTGTGTGCATACGGTTTTGTATGGTTGTGTGTGTCTAGTACTAGGATAAACGAGGATATTTCTCGAACTTTGTTGGAGCAGGTCGGGATCTGCCACACTTGTATCCTGTATTCGGTGGCTCTCCCCAAACGTGAACGTGATTGCCGAGGTGGTCGGTCTGTATACTTGTCAGCTCGTCTTTGGTAGAAAGAAGGGTCTACCCCAACAAACGTGCGTCGTTTCATGGCAATCACTTTGGCCAAAACACGCGAAAGGAGGGATGACCCATGTCGCATCGTTGGCAAGAGGCTCAAAACGAATAGAGGGCAAATATGTGTAACCAGGAAAAATCCCCCGTCAGCCAGAGCGCTTCTCGACTGCGGGGTCCGTTATGAACTCTTTGATTGCTCTCGCCTGCTACCCTGACGCATACAGAGGCTGTCTAATAGAAGACGGACAAAAATATCCCCACCCAATAATCCTTTTATCCCACAAACCGCAGCTATAGAGAAAACTCATGCGTCTCTACTAGACGCTGTAAGCGTGCCCCCAATACCCCTTTTACAAAAAGTGCTGGTGCTGTTCTCCCCATTTGAAGAATCGAAAAGTAGGAAAAGCCCTGTTCTCTCCGTAAACGTGGACATCTGAGTGGATTTGCTTCGTGTCGCATAGCCTCGATGCCCATAGGCCTCTCACGGCCCAAGGGTGACGTGACACCCTCTGTAGCATAATGAAACAAAGTGCCGCTGCTCGCTCGCTGGTGGATTGCCCATGCATTGAACTCCAAAAAACGCCTGGTCGAAATTATGGTGGCCCCTTCCCTTTGTTGATGAAAAAGCTCGATAGAAGAGAGATAGTAGAGGATTGGCAGTCCGGGGTGGGTTCCGGACGACGATAATAGTGGGCCGTTGTATATAATACAAGCTGAAGAGAAAGCGGCTCGAAGGTATGCCGTCGGGGGTGGGAGTAGAGCGTTTACGCGGCTATGTTCGGTATAATTGTTGGCCATTTAGCCAGATGGGTGCTTTGTAATCCATTGCCAAAGGGTCAATGTTGCCACAAGACTTGTCGCTCTCACTTGTGTCCCTCCGGGGTGCCCCAGATGGGTGCGCCCAAAGGCTTGCTGACACCAAAGCCTACACCGACGCCGACGCCGATGACGAGGAGGCCAATGGCAACCTTCATAATGATACGATTCTTCTTGCTCATGCGGGCCATACAGGCGCAGGAACCCCTGTCACGCTTCGCGGCCTTGGCCTTGGCCTTCCAATCCTGCTTGCCCGGCCATATCGTTGGGCAGTCTTTTGTGGTTGTGATGCTCTTCATAGCGTACGGGTCGGAGGAGGATGTCGTGGTGATCATTGCTTCGATGTCTGTGTCGAAGGGATTCTCGTTGCGGTATGACCGCGGGGTAGAGAGGTTGCTGTCGCAGGGCATCTCTAGGTTCTTCTCGGGGGTCGAAGTGACAGGAGTCAGGGTGCCCGGGGCGGTGGTGTCGGACAACTTTGAGTATGCCGCCTTCTCGGGTAGGGCGATGCTGGCGACCGATGTGTGGACGGCCACTTTTTCTTGAGGAACGGCCATTGTTGCGGTATGAAGGTTGGCGAGACTAGCTAGCTAACGATGGGTGTGATGGAAGTGTCGTGTCGAGGAATCTGGTGGTCCAATTGCTGTAGATGTCTGTCCAAAGAGGAGCAGATACAATTGCCGATACTTCTGCAAAAGGTGAGTTAGTCACGGCATTGACGAGGTCCACGAGTGAATCAGCCGCATTGGCTAAGAAGGGAATTGGGTGAAGTAGGGAAGGAACTGAGACCAATGGGAACCAGAGACGAAGAATTGGGGTGACGTACAGCAGAGGGCAGGTTTGACCAAGAGGTGACCTACTGGAAAAGGAATGGAGAAAAACAGGCGAAGCCGATGGTCTTGGTAGTCGAGCAGCAATGGCCTGATATCAACCCACTCGAATGGTTCCAGCCAGTAGGTGAGGTAATGGAGCAGGTGTGCAAACGGGGCGAATCCCAAGCCAAATGTCTTTCCACTGACAGGCGCTTTCGAAGTCGAACGGTGCGGAAAGAACTGGTGATGTCAACCAGGGGTGGTTGGCAGATCGAAGAGGGAGCGAGACTCGGTGTGGGGAAAGGGAGAGATAGGATTGGTGTTGTGAATGAGATTGGGACTAAGGCCGAAAGAGACGAGGTAAGGGAGGAGGGAAGTGAGGCGTAAATGAAGGGTCCGAGAAGGAGGAGGAGCCGGTGGCAGAATAAGTAGAGAAAGTCCAATCCGACGGGTGGTTTTGGTTTTGGTTTTGGGTTTGGGTTTGGAGTACGACAGACGGTAGACGGCAGAGGTCTCGAGAGAGAAGAGACGAGACGAGACGAGGATGGCGAATCGAGGGACGTTGAAACCAGAAACCGTAGACCCGTTTAACAGCGCACTTGGGACGACCTTTGACTTGGCAGATGTAGCAAAGCTGAATCTTCAAAGAGACGACACGGAGGAAGAGAAGAAGGGCCTGGGAAGAGAGCGAGCGTGCACGGGGAGGAAGGTGTCACGATGGTTTTATTGGGGATGGCATGGCATTGTGTAAGGTACTCAAGTCGAGGTGTGTGGATTCCGGACAGGACCTGGCAAGCCTGGTTCAGCCAGAGACAAACGGGAGACGCAGCGAGTAGGGGATAGAGAGAGGCCGACTGGGGAGTGCGAGGCGAAGAGTGGTGTGCGTATACGAGTACAGAGAGCAAGCGCAGGGTAGGGGACACACACAGGAAGTGAGAGAAAGAGAGTGAGAAAGGGCAAATTGATGAGTGACAGACATGGGACGGTCGAGCGAGACGAGATTGTGGATGTGCATTGCGCAGGGAACGGCAGTACGTACCGGTACGTATTCGGCGCTATGAAGCGGATACGTAACTTTTGAGGACCCTCTTAAGGTAGGACCCGGGGAGGCAAATGGGGACACTGGAGCAAGCCGGGAGGTGCCATTGGGGTGTCAATGGGAGTGGAAAGAGTCGATTAGGGCCAACCTGGAAGATTGCGCCGTACAGGGGCACCGTGGAGATCCAGGCCCGGGGTGGGCTATTTTCTCTTGCAGCAGCGTACTTTCCCTCGCCTTTTTCTCTCTTTCTCTCTCTAGGTTTCCTTCTTTCGCTCTGCGCATATCTGTATCACTTTCTGCTGCGCGGGCTAAAATGGCCGGGGCCAGCTAGATCCACCAGCCAAACGAGGGCTGTCGCTGTCGCTGTCAGTCTAGCTCTGACGCCAGAACCAGCACCAGCGCCAACACCTGCACCAACACCTGCACCAACAAGCACAAACAAACACCAGCATCGGGGACCATACGTAGACTAACGAATACTCTGAAAAATGCATTGGAACTGGACTCAGGGATCATCTCTCTCTCTCTTTCTCTCTTGTTTCTTGTGCAGGGCCCAATGCTGGAGCTTGGGACACTTGGGGTTTAAGGGACAGACTCGCACACCACACTGACACTGGACGGCGGCGGCGAAATCATCGAGAAGACACACGCGCATTGATGCCGTCGAATGTCGAAGCGATGCGAGGCGAGGCGAGGCGATGCGATGCGATGGAAAGTATCCGTTCGTGTACGTACGGTTACTCCTACCCTCTTTTTTGCCTTTCTCTGGTTCTAATCTTCATTCTAGGTTTTCGAGGCTCGACATGGATGCCATTGGGAATATCATGTACCTCAGATGTTTCTTACTTAATACACCGACTGCAAAGCCCGTAAATCGGACAAGGTACGTACCATGACGGCTCCAGTCCAGGAAAGGAAGGAATTTCAAGCCAGCTGGACCAGGGTCACACACAGAGTCGCAGCCCCCGTGCCTGGCCCTTTGCATTGTACTTTGGCAGACAGAAGACTGGCGGCTGGCTTTATTGTTGCAACCTCTATTGCGTTACCTCGGGCCAGTCCAGACCACGCATCATGTCTGCAACCAGAGCCAGTCTTGTCCTCTTTTTGTCGAAAGCCAGCACAGCTGGTAGGGCTACTACAACAGCTAGGCAGCTAGGCTGCCCGTCTGCAAGACGGCTCACGAGACCAGGCGCACAGTAGAGACATACAGACATGCGCCGTAGACGGGATGAAAGAAGGGAGCCAGCGGTTGACAGGTCTGACCAGCGCGACCATTGCACATGTGGGACGTCCGTGTGTACGTAGTATATGTGCCTGCCGCTCTGCGGCATCGTGGGCGTGGGTGCGGGCGAGGGCATGAGCGTGGATGGCAGCCGACCATTCACCCACCGGTGAAGCAGAAACCAACTTGGACGACCTGGGCCAGATGTCCCCCCCGCCATACGCCGTAGCTAGGACCGAAACAGGTTACTCTCAACCGTGTGCTTGCGGGGGAACTACGTCCAACTTCCAAGGTCCTTCTTCTTCCACATCTCCATCTCGCGGCCTGTACTCTCTGTCCTGTCGTGTCTGTGCCTGTCAGCATTAGCCTGGGAGGGGGCAACAAGATCTGCTGTTGGTGGTGGAAGCAAACAAACGGTTAATCAATGCCTTCGTCCTCGGCAGATCTTGGGTTAGTTGGCAATAACTGGACCACCGCCGGAGCAAATCGTCAAAAGTTTAAACCCAATGGCACCTGTCCATCGCAGCGGCAGCCAGCCGGGAAAGGAACAAGTCTCAGACGATCAGAGGACGGCGATGCCAAGGACCCGCTAGACGAACATGGCGGTCTGTGAAATCGGCCATTTGACCTGTGAATGGAGCATGGCGGGCGTGATGAGGTACGTAGGTTGTTCGCGACGATCGCCTTTGCCAACAAGCTGTTTGCTGCTGCTGTTGCTCGATGGACACATGCGAAAGAGCTTGCAGACTCAGAGCAAAAGCAGGAGCCAGGAGACGACTTGCACCTGCCTCGCACTTAGGAAGAAGGTTGCAGTAGCGGGATGGCGGTGGGTCGGTTCGCGCTATGGAAAGCGCCCCTGTCCTGGCTTCAGGTAAAGTACGGATAGGTTCCCTTGAGTGGAAAAAATGGGGTCTGGTTCCATCTGCGCTGCTGTTTTTGGGACTGGCTTCTTTCTTCTCAAAAAGCCACTAGCGGGTATCTCCATGGCATTTTGCCGCGCCTGATTGGTCCACCTCGGCACCATGCTCCTGGACCTGCCCTGGTCATCCTGGTGTCGAGGGACGCTTGGAGCGGGATGCAGGTCCCACTTGTGTCGTTCATACTACGTACTACGTACCTACCTTACTTGGTGCATGCGTGCATAAAGTACGTACTCGATACCCCCTCACTCAACACTCAATTCATCCTCCCAAGCCTCAGTACTCTCAGGTCCGCCAACCTGGAAGTTTCTTCCCCACTGCTGCTGCCATCCATGCATCTCGCAGCTCTTCGCCTGTCCTTCAATCTCCCGCCATGCTTCTCACCACCAAGCATCCCAAAGTCCCTCGCTATATGATTCCTGGTGCTGTCTACCTACTGCCGCTTTTCACATGAAGCGTCGTCATTATCTGCGCGTGTTTGCGCTGTGTTTCCCCTCACCCTACGGATACAGGCTCACATCCTTAGGCCTCCCAGGTTCCCCTTCCCCAGCTGACTAGCGGCCGGTCAGCAATTGCTGCTCACCTTCAGGTTGTGCAAAGAGGCATGGCTGACAATAGACGCTGACACAGACGCTCGACATCTCTCGACCCTCCAGAAGGACTCGTGGATTCGTCCCACTGCAACTCTACAGTATCGGCCGTCTCTCTTTTAGGGTCTACACAGTGACCCCCAGCCACTGCCGACGGCGTCGTGTCCCGCAAACCTACCTAAGACCGGCTCCCGTCAAGAGGCTTTCAACAAACGCCATGGCGCCACGGCGGACTGCGTACGCAAGTCTTAGCTGGCTGTGTACGCCCTCGCCCCCATATCAACGACAACAGTCACCTTGTCGCACCACGAGAAGAAACCTCCAGCCACCTCCAAGCCACCGGCTGTGACGAAGATGCAAACCTCACCGTCCTCGTCCTCGCCTTGTTCCTCCCAGCAACAGCCCGCAGTTGTTAATACGAATAGAGACTGGCCCAGTCACTAACAACCGCGTATTCATGGTCCACTGTCTCTGCCCTTACACGCCCAACCCGAGGAAGCAAGGGAAACATCCTCAAGGCTCAAGGTCTCCTCTTTCACTGCCTGCTCCCGCTTCTGGTCTGCCCTGCTAGTCAACCGGGCTCACCTATCACGTACACGCACGCCCCTATCAAGCAGCACCACTGCACCAGCCAGGGCTCTCCTTTGGGCGAGAAAAGAGGACCATCCTGGCTGCCTCTCTCCTCTTTCTTGGATACATCACAACCGGCAACTTCGACACACCTGCGGGCGACAGGCTACAGCAAGTCAAGTGAAGATGCACATTCCCTCCCGGCGCATTGGGAGTTCCATCCTGATTCATCTTGCTGCCGCCGGGCCTCTTTTGCCCATTCGTTGAGACGCACGCTCGGTTCCCAATTGGGTCTTTTGGGCGATCCGGCCGAGTGGCCGAGTGGCCGTCCCCCGTCTCTTCATCGGTCCCCTTCCATGGCGGCATTTTTATCCCTCGACCTGCCGGCCCTCAACCCAAACACCCGGCCTTCGATCTTCGACGGCTCTGTTATGCCACCGGCCCTCGTCTTTATGCAAGCGTATGCAACATCCCAGCGTGGCCCATGCTGTGCATAGTGTAGCACCAGCAACTAGACACCTAGTGCCTCTGCCACGCAAGATTCAAGGCCTTTGGAGTTTGCTATCGCTCTCTCCGCGCAGCACAGGTATCGGCCCATATTGAAATTTTGAGCGACACGGCGGCCAATGCGTTCCCCAGTTTCCATTTTGCATTTTGCGCTGCCGCTGGCTCGCTGCATCTTGAGAGTTCGTCGGGGACGCTCCCCTGTCGCTTGTTAAAGGATTCATATCCCCATATTCTACCCACGAATACGGGCCACAGCGTTATGGTATCCTTTCCCCCTTTCGTTGAGGGCGTTGCCGTTTCCCGGTGATGTTCGTCGCTTCCTTCCAGTGATCAACTTATTAGGCTCCATCGCATTGAAGACGTTCATCATGTTTGGCGGAAAGACCCTGGCCATCGGGTCTCTTCATGAGGCAGACAGGCCTGGCAGGACCCATTCTTGACTTTGCCCCCCCCAGTCTATCCTGGCTGCTTGTCTCGCTTGCTGAGAAGCTACGGATGGTCTCCTCCTCCCTGCGTCAGTACGGATCCCGCCCGTTGTTGTTCTGCGCCAGAACGGACACCACCCATGTCTTATTTTTGCGCAATGATGAGCGAGACAGCACGGATTTGGGCTTGGCCATTGGAAGGTGACTGCAGTGCTGCTGTTAACGTCGCATCTATTGTCTTTTGCTGAAATGATCTATCTGACATGGATCAAGAACTCTACTCCTTACCGCGTTTCGTTCTCGCTCTCGCAACATCCACAGGCCATTCGTTCCTACACAATCTGCACACCCGCGTATTCATCATTGCTAAGGCGCTGGGCGGTGCTGGAACAGCCTCTGCACGTCTCACTCATTGCTGGTGAATGGTGCCTACCCTGTGGATCAGCCATCATCTTCAGTCTTCGTTGTCGGTATCGTCACGGCGGATCGAGCCGCGTCTTGGCTTGACGAGCTATACGAAGTCCTCGCATCATGACCTCATCCACTGCAGTATCTCACCTCCCTACACAGACTCCTCCTCTTGCTTCTCTTTGCAAGGCAGCAAGATGTTGCCAAGAAGCAGCTAGGGGCCTTTTCATGCCAAGGCACAATCAGGTCGTAAAGCTTGTCTGAAGCCTGCCAACGGCGGTTGGCACCATCTCCGACTGATTTGATCCATTGATGAGGACCATACGTATGCGGATACTACGTCCACTGTGCGCGTGGTGTAGTGCAGGCTGTCTTTCGGTCCATCACTTTGCGACTATCGATGCAACAGTGACCCTGAGAAGCAACTATCGTCTTCTCTGCTTGTCAAATGGGGGCGGCGCCATCTGCCCGCCTGGCCCCCGTCCAGCGGCAGTCAGGTCCTCGTCTGGGCATCGATGAGCAGGAGGTTTGCAGCATACCTCGACGACACTTGACACCCTCCCCGGAGACACATCTCGTTGTCGCCGACAATCCAGACCACAGGCTCGCCGCTAATGCAAGGCACATCCAACCAGAATCCACTGAGCTCACATCAAATCTTTTGAACTTTCCAGAACGACTCCAACACAGAGAACCCAGCCGAGAACATGGTCCGGCCTGCTGTCAGCTGTGGCCTCGGGGTATTCTTGCAGCTCTGCGAATTTGCCTTCTTGTCGCCTCACCCGCCTACCCGCCCTTTTCTTCTTTGGTGCGCCAAGTCGTGCCGGACAGACGACCAAGAGATAGACTTGCGTCTCTTGGGTTCTTTTCCGCTTCTTGGCTTTCGTGGCCAACACACCACAACCCTATTTTGCCCGAATTACTACACACCCTCCTTTGCTCGCTTGTCCGAGATGGCTTGCATGCACAGCAGGCGAGACGCAAAGGAAGGAGAGTGAGCAAACACTGACTGACGAACACGCTACATCTCTATCGTGAATCCATCTGCTGTGCCTCAAGGAGGCGGTCAAATGTCCCGCACTCGCCACCAGATCGCTTTTTGCCGATGGCTGGATACTGCGACCAGGACTACGTTCCACCTGTGACAGTCGCCGCGCGAGCAGCTCCTCCATCCTGTTCATTGCATCGTTCACCGTTGTCTTCACCAGGCCCAACCAAGCAGAGGGGCAAAAGCGCGCAGGCTTCGACACAAACGAGGGCCTTGTGCCGCTTAGCGTACGTAGGCGACTCGTGCTCACAATGCCGGGGTGTCATCATGTCATCCCAATCGCAGTGACCGCCCTGGTTATCCCATTTGATCCAAGGAAAATAACTAAGTAGAAGCGCATGCACTTTTGCACAAAATTCCAGAGAGCAGCAATTTGCGCGGACCGATGTACGGTCTGACATCATGAGGGGGGAATGCTTGGTTTCCTAGGCAAGTGAGACCAAGAATGAATCGATGCAAGTTCCTCGTGCTGGGCCTACTGGACCAGCGTGACAAGCCCTCGGGTTGCAGCTTGGATGAGCTTGGATGGGAGGCGGGCAGTACACTAGGGAAGAGCCAAACGGGGAAATCCAGATACCACTGCCCACGGAGTCTAGCCCCGGCCTTGCTACCATTGGACGCCGATGTCGTCTCTGGTTCTAGCCACCGGGGCGGGTGAGCTAACGGCGCAGCAATCAGCTTGTAGGCGCGGCCGATGGACGAATGGGAGTTTACCCCTCACTGCAAATGGCACTTGCAATGGGTTCAGTTGAGAGATTCAGTAAGGGTCGTGAGGATGAACCTAGACCTAAGACGGTCAGGGTTGTGAAGTTCGGTTCGAGTCTTTTACAAAAATTACAAGCCTCAGGAGTATTGTTTAGCTCGGGTCGGAAATTCCGCGAGCTACATGACCACGTGATGACTTTGCGATGAGAAGGGGCAAACTGAGATGTTTGTGTCACTCTGCTACTGGTCTCCTGACCGTTCTTGTCTCGCTCAAGTCTTCTGTTTGGGTGTTGGGAGGGGTTTTCTCACAGCGACGAACGATAAGAGAGGAATTTCAACCTTTTGCTTGCAGCTCGACTGGTTGGCCCAGGCTATCCTTGCTGCAGCTGCAGCAGCAGCAGCAGCAGCAGCCAGAGTCAGAATGGGAATGGCACCTTAGTCCGTAGAACTAGACGGGGTGGACGACGAGGCATGGCCCCACCCCCACGTGCCGTATTATGTCGTCCCCCGTTTGAAGATCTGACATGGTGAAGGGCATCTGTATCTTGCAGAGAGAAAAAGGACTAGACCAACTTGGACATCCAACTGTGTTGAACGGGCTGGAGGGGTAGACGCTGGACCGGCTGATACTGCCTGCCCACTCACTTGCGCACACAAAGCGTGTGTTCTAGATGTTCGCGTTCGAGTTCGCGCCACAGGTATGCGATGCAGCGTCGCATGCTGGAACAGAGTTTGTGTGGGAAATATCATAGTGGTCCCCCCCCGTTCCTCTCTCCCTCACAGGCTCAACCCCCCAGTGGGCCATGGATCACGAAGGACGAACTTCAGATGGCGTTTTTTTCGTCTTTGCCTTTGGAGGGTTACTACCTATCCTATCTGAGTGTGCACTACCCCCTAGTCAGTAGATAACTTGATACGGCGCTGGGCAGAAACTTGAGCGGGGGGAGATAGGTGAACCCTGCGGCCTGCATATCGCGATACCGCGGGTAGCCTCCGACTCTGATAAAATAGGTATCTCGCTCTCCACATGTGATTCGTATCGTTGTGGTTTTATCTGAGGACCCTCTCCATCACTGTCGTTTTCGTATTCTTCATTAGGCTGTTTGCGTTTGATCGTGGGTTTGTTGCGCAATGCGACACGAGAAGATTGGACATGGGGGGTTAAAGCAACATTTGAAGATCCTGGCGAGTCAGAACAGTCTGGAGTCTGGATACGATTTTTTTTTTGCGGATTGACAATGCCTGCACCGCACGTGGGAGACTATCGAGTTGTTGCAAGATCTTTCGGGATGACAATGGCCACCCAACAAGAAGCGATTTCCAATCTTTACGACAAGGGCGGCGATCACTGGCTGCAGCCTACCTACCTGAGCTTTGGTGCGGAAGAGTATCGTTAGAGGTCATAGACGAAGGTTGACGGCTCCGGGGGGCGGGGGGGTTGGTCTGTACAGCCAACTTCGAAGACGATGGAATTTCTCACCGGGGAAAGTTTACTCGGCCGGAGAGATTAGAATGAGGCTTGGTATCTGCCGAGGGCCGGGTGGGTAACACGGGTACTTACTTTTGGTTTGGAGGGCACCGCTTCCGGGCCGGAGGAGAGGCAGGTGAGGCAGCGTTTTGGTGCCGTTTGCTTCTTCGGGACGGATCTTATACTGTGGTTCCTTCTTGTGAGCCAATTGCGATTATTCACTTCTCTTTTGGCCTTGTCCAAGGTCGGTCGTGTTAATTGGTGTTCTACAACAAAGAGGGAAACGTGTTGACGGGGAAGGTGATAGTCTCCGTCTTGAAGTCACACAGGTTAGGTTGAGTGGTATACGTATTGCTCTGGATGAAGATGAAGCAGATCTTCTCTCGCTCTCTCTCTCTCTCTCTCTCTCTCTCTGGTTGAGGGATCTCTCCAGTATCATCGCAGGCCTTTGATATCATTTCGGGTGATGCCGCGCAGTCTCTTCCGCCCAGCGACGTTGTAGCTTCGTCTCCGGACTTCTAGATAATTGTCGGCGTCGTCTTGTCAGCGACGTGTGAGGTAAGGTCGAGATTTGGTGCCGGGGGATGGTAAATAGCCGTGATAGATCCAAGACCTTGAGAGAAACGACGTCCCGCTGACTTGGTACTCCCATCTTCTTTTGCGCTTTTTGTCTTATAGGAAGCTTGACGAGACGAGAGAGGCGTAAATTGTTTGGATGAGTGCGGCGGCTCATATACAAGTAGGATCTCTGGGCAGTCTGGACCAGTATTAGAACAGCTCGACGATCATAGTGTACTTCAAGCGATTCGGACTCTTCCGAATGCTCAGAAAGACCGCAACGAGCTCGATGTCTCGAATATTGTCCTCCCTCCTATGTCACAGCATTCGTCATATTTCCAAGACACTCGAGAAGCGAGAAAGTAGCACGCGTCGTGGCTAGAGCAGCCAAGTTGTTGGCGCAGGTGTCTCGGCTTCAGAATTTCATCACGATGAACGCTCTACTTAAGATAGTCATTCGCAAAAGACTCTTGCCGGCGCAGATCTTCCTGTTCGTGTTCCTACTTGGAAAGAAGACACTGTTTGCTCTGGAAGACACATGCCAAGGGCAGTAGACACTTTCTTTCTCAGCATCTCATTCTTGAATGTGTGAGAAACTTTTGTCATAGGGAAGCTTGGATTACCACGACCACATCCGCGATCATTATGGTGACTTCTGCTACGATTAACGTTGACAGCATCCATCACGAGTCTGAGCTGAGTAGTGAGATTGATAAAGGACGTCGAGGCCCAAGCGGCTGTCTCCAAGTCTTCGTCTCTTTGATATTTTCGCTCGGAGGCGTCTACCTCATCTCCTGATGGCATCGCCGAGTACACCGCGTTGCCCATTCCTCCGGACACTGTCCAGACCCAAAGAGGACGAGAGGATCAGCAGGCTTTCATGTCCATTCAGGATGCTCAGATATAATTGAGAAAAATTCGAGAGCGGTGTTCAACAAGGTCGTTCAATCGTCATGCGTCCTGCCCCTGATCGAAGAGTCGGTGTAAGAGCTCGAGAGCTATGAACCTGAAAAGGGGCCGCACCGGGCTTCAAATTTGCTGGCAACCGAGACATTTAATGGCGACGATACGCATGACATAGCAACACAAGACATCAACGTGGTCTGCGCAAGCTTCTTCAGCTGGGCCCAAGGAGTTGCGGTGACGACATACTGGCCACATTTGGGCCATGATCGATCGCGTGGGTCCATCAGTATTTTGATGCAGGAAGCATGAAAGCAGCAAGACTCGATCATTCCAAAGAGTCGCACAACCAGAGCAGGCGGGATTGATTGGTGTCACTTCGCAACCACGCAGAATCGGTCCGGCAAGAGGAAACTGAGGCTTCGTGTTCCTGCTGCTCGTGCATCGTGAGCGACGCTTCGCAGGCCTTGTGCTTTGGATCAGCACCCAGACGTCGCTGCTCAAAAGCATGAGCTGTCCCTCCCATCCTCCTTTCCGGAAAGGATACTCTTGCCGCTAATGCTGTGGATAGCAAATGGTTGCCTGACTTTTGTGCGACGTGATAGACGGCTTCTTGGGTTGGGAAGGTTCCAAGGACAGAAATGGGGAGGCCGAGGAGCACGATGCAACTTCCGCGGATGGTCGGTGACGAAGGGCAGGAATGGCGCTTTCACGTTCTTGCAGAACAGATATGGCAGCCATTATCACCTTAATGAGCTTTTCATCAAGGAAGGCGACTTCCTCCTTTTCTGGAGCACCCAAGCTGTCAGCCACCCCAGAGCCAGAACTACAAACTCCCATATAAACCCCTAACCTGACATCCACCTCTCCTCCATCTCTTCTTTATCCTTCATAATTCATTTCCCAACGACACCACAGCATTCCCCTACTTTTTTGGACCGACAAACATTCTGCTAGCATTCCTCTCAACTCACATCTTCCACTCGGACTTGCACCCATCAGTATCCCCAGCATTCCCATCATCAAGATGTTCACTCTGCCTATTGTCACTCTGACACTGGCTGCCCTCGGTCTCGCCAGCCCCATTGATATCAAGCCCCGCCACCATGAGGACATCAAGCCTCGGCATCATGAACAGGTCCAACCTAGGTCTCACATGGCCCCATGCTTCGAAAAACTGATGCACGAATCAGCCGTTGACGCAAGATCTACGATTTCCAAGATGATTCCCGGCGTTGGTAATGACTGGGGATGCACTGATGTCAGACCCCTTTTTACTCTCTCTGCCCGGTTCACTACCTCCAAACTATGCTTCTTGTCACCTCTCGATGCATAGATTTGGATCTACTACTGCGACATTGGGCTATTCTCATCGGCAGACGTATAGGATACGCTTCACATCGATTCCACGGAGCTGACAGAGAAATAGGTACCTGCCCCAAGGCCCCTTGACTGCCCAGCCCTCTTCGCAAAGATGCAATCCGGGCAACAGGAAGGAGTCACCATGTCGGCCGATAAAAGTTGTTACACACAGATCCACAACTCGTGCAAGGCCCTCGTCTGCGCATCAGGTGGCGTTGACAAGGTTGATGTTTCCTTGGCAACTGCACGTATGATGAACCCTATTCAAACCACGTGCATTGTCAATGGAAAAAGTGGTTTCTGGTGGAATGAGAATCGCTCAGTATTCGTTTCCCTCATGCATGACGACTAGGATCTCGGCAAGCACCACGCGAGACAGCTTGAAGAGGAACCAACAGACGAGATCCCAGACGAGGAGGAGGAGCCCGAAGACGAGGATACTGATGAAGAAGACTCCGACGAAGACTCGGATGATGGTAAGGACTCGGATGACGAAGATGACGAAGATGACGATGATGATGATGACGATGAGGACGATGAGGACGATGAGGATGATGGAGATGATGAAGATGGCGAGGGCTCTGAAGATGAAGGAGACGCCGAGGGAGACGAGCCCGTTTTGGACGAGGCCTTCGATGATTTTATAAGCCCGAGATGGTAGTTCTTTCGATGCATCGTAGAAGCACTTGCCAATGGCAGGGAGACACCTAGAGACTTATAGCATGGCTTAACAATAAACTTAATACACCGCATCAAGAAGACGACCACTATGCTATGTCGACGGGGCCTTGGTTCCTCATTATTGCCTTTATTTTGTGACATTACCATCAAAGACAACGCCAATCCCATCTTGAAGCACTACGATGGTGTAAAAAGGTCATGGTGGGCGTTCAGAGGTAAGGTAGTCAGACTCGTCGTTGTTGGAGTCGTCGGTGGGTGCAGGGCAAAGTGGATCCGTTCGTTGGTAAAGGCTGCCGTAGCGCAAGGTGACCCCTGCTCGGGATCTGCCGAATGGTGGGGAGCTGGAGACCCATCGCCAACTTCAACATTCACTCGACACCACAAAGTCGGCGTAGACCTTATCCCACAATTCTTGAAGCCGCGACTTTTCCCAACCTCATTTATTTGCGAACCGCAACACAGAAGAGGGAATCGAACAGATACGCAGTCATGGGACTGGTACGGCCTCCTTCTCCCTGCCATACATCCTCCCCAGACATTCGAAAGTACTGACAGTCTCGGTGGCCGGACAGAACAAGGACGCCAGCCACACCTACGTGCACATGCACCGCGCGCGCGACGCCGACCTGTTCGAGGACTTCTGCAAGGAGAAGCTGCCGGACGACGAGGTCTACGTGCCGCCGCAGCACCAGCCGATCAACCCGGAGGACGAGGACGACGTCGTGCCGGACCAGCACGCGGCGTTTGGTATCACCAAAGCGACGCAGCGCCAGCGCGAAGCGGCGTGGAAGGATTTGGGGCTGTCGGGGCTGATGAATCGGGGGCCGCCGCCGCCTGGGGGGTGGGAGCAGGGCCAGGGGGCCGGCGGGGGTGGTGCTGGTGCTGGGGCTGGGGCAAAGAGGCTGCCGCGGTAGATGGATGGCGCGTTCGAAGAGAGTGATGCACAGAGATTCAGAGAGGGAGAGAGTGCGACTATGGTTTTGGGTGGAAGGGAGGAATATTGGCGCAATGGGATACCCCGGGTATTGATTTTGAGGACTACGCCGTACGGGTCTCGGGTACTATCGTGGCGGCATCGGCATCGCGACCATGTTTTGGGGCGGACGCGACTTGATCCTGTGGCTCAAGACGGGGTTCACTAGCGTAAGGGATTGGATGAGCTTCACAGCTCTGTATCCCTATCGGAATGATGCTATTGACGATTTTTTTTCGACTTCATGACTTCCATGCCGCGTCTTCCTACAAATCGACTTCAAATGATATGGTCCCAATAAATAGAACGTATCACCGGGCACCAAAGAGTCCCCCGTCGCCTAAACGCCGCCCATGCCCTTCCGTAAACGCCATGAATCACGAAGTTCTTCATCTCCTCGCCCAATGACCATGCACACCAAACATCATCATCACCAAATCAAACCCCTCACTCAGCTCTTCCCCAGATACCCCTCCCTCTCCAACACCTCGGGCCTGAACTTGACGAGAAATACCGTCTTGCCGGGCCACATTTCGTGCTCGTCCTTGGCGGCGATGTTGTGCGCGCTGACCCGCGCGGGGAACCCGGCGCCGTCGCAGATGCCCTCGACGATTCCCGCGACGTAGGCGGCGCAGTTGAGCTGGGACATTTCGCGGGGCACCGAGATGTAGGCGTTTACGAGGGGTTCGTTGTCGATAATCATGTACTCGTCTGGCTTGGCCGGGTCGGCGGATTTCTCGAGGCGGTCGGCCTGCCGGCCAAAGAGGTGCTGCCAGCAGGACTGCTTGATGAAGTGGAGGAGGGTGATGATTGTGAGGGGGCGGGTCTGGGTGCGGGGGGGTTCGCGGAAGAGGAGGAGGTCGAGGAGTTTGAGGCCTATTGAGTGGCCTTGAACGTTTAGTCTGGAAAGGAGGAGTTAATCTCAGCGTTTGTTTGGTTCATGGACAGAGTGGGAAACAGAGAGAGGAAGTCGGGAAGGACGAAGAAGAAGAAGAGGCGTACCGTTGTTCGAGCTCGGAAATGTCCTTGACGTTGCGCTGGGCGTACGAGACCATTTCGCTAAAGAGGTAGGCGAAGCTGGACTGGCTGAGCTCGGCCGTCTTTGTGCGGTTCAGGGGCCGGTGGTAGATTGTCTTGCCGTTGGAGGGGTACCGCAGGCCGGGCGTCTCCTTGCCGGGGATGGTCTTGGTCGTTGGTAGATTCGCCATTGTCGCGTAGATGTATGTGTGATGTAATAACGCTGTATGGTTCTACAGAGAGGCGAGGCGGTGCATTTGGTTTCGAGTCTGGCTCGAGCTGTCTAGGTACGGATCCGAATCGGTGTGCGGCGGCAGCTGGATGAGTGCTCGCGCGGGATGGGTGACGTTTGGGAAAGGCTGCAGGCAGGGTTGGCGGGAGCTGTGGGTTTGGTGTCAACTTGCGCGCGATTCGGGTGTGATTGGGTCAGCCTTATCGGCGATAGCGATAAGAGCTCACGTACATCCACAGCTCCGGGTGGAGAGGAACATCACATTCATCTGTCGCATTGGCAAACAGAAAACAGTAGGAGAAAAATGATTCGGAATATCTACGTAAGAAGGAATAACGAGAAAGGATCGATCCATGCCAATGCTTCCGTGGAGTTGAAACCCGATGCACCCAAGAGTCTACCATTTTTGTCCCTCGATCTGCTTGTCATTAGTTTGAGTGAGCACCCTTTGCTCAAGTCTATCAATGTTTAAGAATTGCAAGTCAAACTCTAAATATTTGTGATCTCGCTCAACACTTGGGAGTGAGAAGCTTTTTACGCAGCAGGCTTGACCTCGGCAGCGGTGTCAGCCGGAGCCGTGACCGTAATCACAGCCGCATCCGCAGCCACAGCCGCAGCCTCCGCGCCGACGCCCTTCTCGACGGCACCGCCGAGGTAATCTTCCGACTCGCCAACCTGCTTTCCGCCGGCGACCCAGCGCGCCGTCCGGGCATCGTGCTTCTCCTTGCACATGCCGTTGAGGGCGGGCCAGTAGACGGAGTGGTCGTACTCAAACTCGAGCTTGCCGTCGCTGAACTCGGTCCACAGCTGCTCCTCGGGCACGTACTGGCGCATGTCCTCGTTGAACTTGAGCTTGTCCCGGGTCATTGGGTCAATAAAGGGGGTGATGAGCTTGAAGAAGCCGTTGACCATCCAGGGTACTGCGATGAGACGTTAGCATGAACGCGATACACTAACCAAAAATAGGTGAGACGGGATGGGGGTAAGTGCATATATACCATTGATAATGAGGGCCTTGCCCAGACGCTCAGGATAATGCGTCTGGAGGATGTGTAGCACCTCGCGGGCCAGCCCGATACCGGGCGCCGTGTTGCCGCGGCTCTTTGACGTCTTGAAGTTGATGAGCAGGGCAATCTTCTCCTGGCCGGCGGGCATGAGGTCGATGACGCGCTCGAGCATGAAGACGAGGTGCTGGACCTGACGCGGGGACGGGTCCGTGTTCTGGCGGCCCGGGTTGAGGTAGTGGCAAGGGCGGCGCTCCTTGTCGAAGCCGAGGATGATTTGCTTGCCCGTCTCGTTCTCGGGCGAGATGTGGTCGGCCGTGAGGGCCTCGACGCCGTACTCGCGGCGCCAGACGAGGGTCTCAAGGAGGCGCTTCTCGGCGTCCTTGGGGGACCATTTCGTGGCGCGGAGGTAGCGGAGGAGGCACTCGCGCGTGAGCCACTGGCGCTCGGTGTCGGTGAGGGGTCCGGACTTGGAGGCGTGGGCGGCGGTGGTGCATGTCACCTCCGTCCAGGCGCGGGCTTGGGCGAGGAGGCCGTCGTACTTGGACTGTTGGTCTGCGGTGAGGGCCGGGACGGCCGGGGTGGATGATGCCGGGACCGGGGAGGCGATGGGCGTCTTGAGGGGGGCGGTTGGGGTTGGGGTTGCGGCGGCCTTCTCTTGCGGACCGGCGGTGGAGGCCGGCGTTGGATCAGCGACGGAAGCCATGGCGGGCGTGACTTTTTTTTCTTTCTCGGAGGGGAGCAGATCCGGCTTGGTAAAGTGGTTTGGACTTTTCCCCTTGCACTACGGATTCAATCGTGGCCGTAAGGGGTATGGTGTGTTGAGGCAAGGTTAGGTAGGATGAGATCGTCTCTGTCCTGTGACTTTACGAAAGAGATGTGCGCGAGGGAGGAGGGGCGTGTGCGCGCGCTTCCGGCTGCGTCTGACAGAGATGGAAACAGACAGACCAGCGGCACGTCGAGAACGACTTTGGGACTTGTTGCTCTAGAGGTCTCGGAGGTTGGGCGTCGTTCGCGAATCGTAATGAGTTCCTCGTGCAACCACACCGCTAGTATTGATTGATTGACTGCGAGATTGAGGCAATGAGAGGAAAGGAGATGAGGCCATGCCGGGAAGCGCAGTTCCGGCCGTTAGTGTCCGCCCCAAGAGACCCAAAAGGGTACGCAAAGGCGCACTGGGGCCCGCACCAAGCACCAGTGATCGGCCGGGTTGCGCCGTAGGTTGAGTTTATTCGTTGATCTGCTGGATATTGAGAATCTGTCTGCGTCTATGCGACCCATCTTGCGGTATCACGAACTCCCCCGCCATTCATATGAAGTATACGGATATCTTGCAGGTTACATTGCGCGCCGTTGAGATGCGCCGTCAAGCTTTTGCGCTTTTTCCAAGGTGGCAGGCCCTGTCGCGCTGCAGAGCTGCTCGGCAAAATGCGCGCTAGACCGGATCAGGTGGGCCCCGGTTCCAACGTCGCGCCCCACTGCTTTGAGGGACCCCGACCATTGATAACCCGGTACGTACAATAAACCTCGTGCCTTACCTAATAAAGATACGTACTCCCCACCTTAGGTCCGGAGCACCTCTATCCATCTCTACAATGACGCCGGCGGCGATGTGAAACTCTCGTACCTTCACGCGAACCTTCAAGACACCCCGCACACGCCGCCGCCGTCGCAGTCGCCCCCTTCTAACAACGGACCAGAGCCCTTCCTGTCTCCGCCGAGTCATGGGGGCTACCTTTGTGCTGTCAACGAACTCTTGCATACCAAGGAATGCCAGCGCGCCGTAGTGCCATTGGTCACCATCAAGTGTCACTCTTCTTCGATGCGCGCGCCCTCTCATCTCATCTGATCCCATGGATTGAAACTCTTCGTGGCATTTTGGGAACGACGAACCCACCAACGCACCACACGCTACCCATCGCCGATGATGGCTGAAGAGGAGGCTTTTCCCAAGAAGCCGCTGGCCAACTGCGTGGAACGAATCGAAAGATCAAGACTTCTACCGTTTCCAAGCTAACGATCGTCCGCTACTTTGTCGCGTGGTCCAACATTCCCTAGGCCGCCCAAAGGGGAGACGGCGCTCCAATCAACTCCATTCCTCTCTCGACCGGTCCCGCGGCCTTCCGTGTCCGTGGCTGATCACGTTGATCACGCTGGTCTCCTTGAACTTTGGAGCCATTCCCAGCTGTCCGGAACTCTAACCATCCGAGCAGTGGCTGCAGCCGAGCGCCTGGCTTCTCTCCCTCCCGAAATCCCAAGGCGAGCCCTGTCAGTGTTTCACGCTCTCTTTCCGAGTCTCTGTCGACCCCATCCGTCCACTTTCCATCACTCGGTTCTTCGTTTCCGAGCCATGGTCCATCCCTTTCGAATCGCTCCCGTCCAATCCAAACTCTCCAATGTAAGCTGCATACTGCTGGACCAAACCATGAACACATCCCATCCGTGCGAGGATGCGCCGTCGTCCCAGATGTCTTGTGGATGCAGCTCCTCCCGCCCACACCGCCTATCCAATATCACACTCTTGCAGCCCGCTCTTATCCCGGCTGCTGGCCCATTCCAGAATCCAGACAACCTAGACATCTCGGGAGAGCCCTGCCAATTCTCACTCCGGCTGCTGAACGGATCGTCGTCACATCAGCACACACATCAGCACGTCCCCCACGAACGCCGCCCAGTGCCGCCGGGAACTCAAATGTCCACCGCTGATCGTCACGGCTCCCGGTGTTGAAAAGGTTGGGTGTGTTTCTTCAAAAGAAGAAATCTCCCGGATCGACCGCCAGGATTAGAGCTTAACATATCTTGATGTTTCATCGGCATACGTCCTTCCTTTTGCAGCTCTACCACCCGGAGCTCATAAAAGATGGTCACCTTGCTGCCTTCCTTCTGGCCTTGCCCAGATCTCAAGAAGATTTCCACTCACTCACGCGATAATCTATCTTCCTGGTTCAACATGCCGCTCTCCACCTACCTCGTTCAGGCGTCCATCGCGGTGTTGTTGGTCATCTTCGGGATCCAGATGCAAACGACTGCTGCCCAGGCTACGCCGCTGACTTGCAAGAACGTCGATCAGCCGAACCCCATTTTCAGCCAATATCCGAACAATGCGACCGGTCTTTTGAACGTCACCATGACCATCATCCCGATTTCCATGGCGACAGCGCGCCAAATCATCCCGCAGCAGTATGGCATTCTCGAGAGCGTCTATCGGGCGCTCATGCCAAACTTCCCCGCCGACATGTATCCGGTTATCGTTCAGGCCGGCCACGACCACGACATTCGTTTTCAGGACTTTGGAATTCCCGACTTCAGTGTAAGAGCCTACCTGCAAAATGTTTCCGGATGAAGGCAACTGTACTAACACTCATAATTAGAAAGCTGGCTTTGAATTCCCCTTCCTGGATCTCCTGGACGACGGCGCATCGTCTTTTCGGTGGGCTCCCGAGCAACTGATTTCGGCCACCAACCCCGCTGCTGTCGTCGGCTCCCAAGCGTACGGCACCGAAGTCCACGCCGCCACCTTTGCCCCCGAATGCAACGCATACTCGGCTGCTCCTGGAGGCGGCACTTCATTTAACGGCACCGCGGGTGCCAAGTACATGTCTCTCGAGGTGAAGATGTCTTCGTGCGGAGGCAAAGCATTTCCCTACACTCTGGCAATGTTCGACGCCATCGTCAACCAGCCCATCTTCGCCAACGGCTCGACCTGCGACCAGCAGATCCGCCTCTTCAACACCTCTGTAACCACCGGAGCCTTCCAGCCGGTACCAGTGCGCGGGACGCTCAAGTCCAACCTCGGACCGTTCCAGGCTGATGTAGCATTCTCCGACGTGGCTGGTTTCCAGGCTGCCACGCCCTTTATCGAAAACAACTATCTTCCTTGCGAAATGTTTAGAGGATATAAACCCGCCAAGACTACTTGATACCCCTTCTCCGTTTGGAGATCATTACAACGTAATTTCTATTCACACCTTTTGGCAATGGTGCCTTTACTCGGCCTGGTTGGAGCCAGTGTTGGGCACTTTCACGACCTTTATGACGGCATGACGTACATATTTACATGAATGTGGGGATAAGACTAGAATCTCTCCCTCTGGATTAGGTCAATATACATGGCGCGTGCCGCTTCGGTGCCGCACTAATTCGGAATGCTTTTTTTTTTCGCCGGAAAATCCTGTGACGCAGATGGGTGCTGCGACAGATTTGAATTTGCCTCTCAAAACAGTCGGACCGAACACGAAATAGGTTGCCATCCAGCACGACGCTTGTAGTAACACCCAAAATGCACTAGGCGGGTTCGATTTGATTTATCTGGCCCCAAGCGTCGCATTCCTGCCGGCGTCTATGGTAGGTGGCCGTACCTCAAACCAACAGCCGGCTTGATTCAAATCGCCGATTCCGAAAGGAAGAGTAACTGTTTCCGGTCCATATTTCATAGTTCTACTCGTGAACTCTTTAGCCGGTAGACCCTCTCCGGTTGGTGGACCCGGAAGCCTCCGTTTGGGCCCCACTTCGTCCCGTCTCCGTCCCGGGATGAGACTTCTCCACTTTCCGGGGAGTTACGGCTGGATATGTCAGGTATTTCGCAGCAGCGGCTGGTATCGGTACGAGTGATCAACCCGGCCAGCCGTAATCCCAGAGATCATAAATTTTTTTTTTTTTTTTTTTTTTTTTTTTGGGTACAGGTCGTTGCCTTGGGCAGCGAGATGGTAATGTCGTTTGCGGAGTCGAGGCACAGGATCTTCAAGTGCAAAGTCCATTCCGCTACGAGACTAAGTAGGCACCTTCTAGAGGCCAAGCATGTTGCATGGCTGACGTGAAAGTTTTGAGGGATCATTCGGGGAGAGGATCCTAAGTCGCGCCGCGCCAGTCGCTGAGAGGTGTCCCATCCCCCACGTGTTGAGGCAGGTTTGCACTGTTTGACTAAACGGGGGGTGAGGCTGTGTCTCTTCAGTCTGCCCCTTGACTCACCTGTGGTGAGTTAAAAATGCAGTGCAATTCGGGTCCAAAACCCGCCACTTGACACTTTTCGCTCGCTGCTCACGTTTAACTCTTGATTGGATGGTGTGGTATTATCTTTGGCTTGCCTTGGTCCTCTTCAGATGGGGTAAGATCGCAGCAAAGGGTTTCTGTGATGGGTTAGAAATGCAGTGTACAGCGAAGGATTCAGCCGTGTGGTTGCAGCTAATCGCTCATCTTCACTACTGAAAAGGTCTCCGCTGCTGACGTGTAACCCTTGATTGGATGGTGAGGCTACGTCGGTCCTCTTGTGTTGTGTTAAAAGTGCAGTGAAAAGAGGCAGAGCAAGTTTGAAGGAATCCTTACGAGTTTGCCTTACGAGTTTCGGGAGTGGATCAAAATGGAGTATGGGACTTCAGCTTGGGAATGTCAGCTGCGCCGAAATGACCATACGTAATTGTCGCTTCCACCTGCGCCTCTTTGATCAAGGCCGATGCGGAGGCCGATGCGGATCACCTCGGGGGTAGGCTCTGCGACACGACATTGCGGGATGTCCTGAACCAAGATCGTACTCAAGTATCTGTCGTTTGAACCAACTACTTCTAGTATTAACCAGCAATTAGTGGATGCTGTAAGCGTGTTATACATGGACATGCAATATTGAGTATTTGGCCCTTATGATGGATAGGAGTAGGCGCAGAGAGAACCAACGTCTTCTTAAAGATGAGATAGGTTCATGCAAGAGTGAGGTAGCGGGCGGGGAAGACGGGAGGTAGATGCACGAGGAGAGATTATTTCGAGCGGCTGAGAGACGCACAAATCAATTGGGTTTTCATTGCATCACCTACCACAGAGACATTAATTGTAGCAAGCAGCAGCTGAAGAGAGCATCTTTCGTCCCAGATGCGGGAGAGAAGGGCAAAATAGAGGGTCCAAGAGCCTAAGGAACTTGGATAAGACGGCAACTAGAGACGAAGGATCGACGAATGGTGCGCCTCAGAATGTGACTTTGGACGGATTTCAAAACGCGACTGGAAACACTTTACAGGCTCCAATGGCTCCGTCCGGGGGATGAAGCCACGGGTGCGAGGGCCGTTTGGCGGCTTTTGGATCGCTGAAATGGGGGCGTCGAAACCTGGCACCAGCTGTGCTCTGCTTACTAACCGAGTCTGCTGGGGGTTCCAACTCCCACTGGGACCAGAGTCTGGGGCTTTTTGGGGGCAGCTGCAAGTGTCGACGACCCCTGTCCTGAAACCTCAGCCTCAGACTCTGGTGGTATCTGCACATGAGACGACGGGGAACCGAAAACAGGACGGCGTAACGAATCGAGGGCGGTTGTTGTAGGCGAGTATGAAGAAAAAAACAGGGGGAAAGGGGGCCATTGAACAAAAGATCGAGGTGGTCCCCGTGAACACTTCGTGACCGTTTGGGTTTGCCTCCTCCTTTTCGTCTTCTTCTCTCCTTGGCGCTGGCGCATTGTCTATCCAGTTCTCTTCAGTGCGTTTTGCAGATATCTCAGTCTTTCTAATTCAACTCGATAATTACCGTCTCTCTCTCTCTCCTTTCGACTTGTCCGCCGACGGTTGATCCGCTTTGTCCTTTGACTGCACCCTCCACGACAGAAAAACAGACACTCATTCGAGAACAAAAAGACAACTGCCCAAGACGGACATGTCGGACGCAAAGTACGCCAACATCAAGTTTGAGGACCACGATGACCGGAGCAGCACCGAGGTCGAGGAGTCGCTGCTCGGCGCCGACGACAAACCGTGCCGCCACTGCATGGCCAAAGACTACAACAACCAGCCGGCGAGGAGGAAGAGCCGGTGCCTGGCGATGCTCAACTCGTCGCGGTGGTTCGTCGACACGATACTACTGGTCGTGATATTGGGCCTGCTGGTGAGGGAACAGATGCAGAAGCCACCGGTGAATACGTGGGACTTTGGCGGGGATTTGACTGGTGTTAGCGGACACTGTGAGTTGCCCTCTGTGACGACAACGATAATGGAGTGAGGGTGGGAAGATGACACTTGGTGAATGGGAGACTGACTTGATGAACGCATAGTCTCGCAGCAGATCAAGACGTTTACGCCAGACTACGAGGGCAAGTACGCACCCAACGACACGTCAAAGTTCTTCACCGATGAGACCTTGAACAACTGGAACGAGCTGATGCCCTGTAAGTTGCCGATCTGGAATCTTTTGAGAGACGCCTTGGAGGGACGCGATCGCTGACGGAAAGGGTACAGATGGCATGGGCTTCCAATGGGTGAATGACACGCACAAGTACCACGACCTGCCGACCCCCATCGTCTGGCCCGAGAAGACTGTCTTCACCACCTCCATCACCCACCAGCTGCACTGCCTGGTACGTTCCTTCTCATTCCTCGCGACCCATCGTCCGTGGTCCACTAACAGTCCGCCCAGTTCGCCGTCGTCCAGACGTACTCTGGTATCAAGTCCGGCCACGAGATCCCCGACGACCACCACTGGCACATGATTCACTGTTTCTCGTACCTGCGACAGACCATCATGTGCAGCGCCGACATGGCTCTCGAAGGTCTCGAGACAACCTTTCCGGATCACAACGGTGGCTCTGACGGATGGGACTCGAAGCATGGTAAGTCGTCTCGCTCGTCTGAAGTTAGCATCTGGGAGAGCCATTGAGAGCTAACTTGAAGTCCGCAGTGTGCAAGGATTATAACCAGGTTAAGAACTATTTGGAGAGCGTCAGGGCGTACGACGACAGAGAAATCTTTTAAAGGGGCAAAATAAGCAGCACAGCATCATAAGCATTTCATTTCAAAAAATATATATACAAACATTTCACCCAAACTAGACCCAAGCATGTCACCAACAAGTCTGAACACTCATGCTAACACTAAAAGACTCTAATCGTTGACTAGCTAGATAGACTCCTCATATTGAATCGGCACAACGCCAACCGTCCCGACATATTCCAGTACGGCCTCCTCCAACTCCGGTAGCTTACTCCACGGCTCCCGCATAAATCCCATCAGATTAGACTCCTCCAACACCTCCGCCGGCGTCATCAGCTCCCACTCGGGCAACTCGACCTCCGGCAACGGCACGCAAATCCCGCAGCCCCCTCCCCAATGACAATAACACCCGTTCGGGTCCGCGGCCCCGTACCCTTCCCACACCTCGCGGTCCATCGCCCGGCCCGTCCAGACCTGCCGCTCGAATTCCCGATCCGACCGCCAGACCTGGCGCCACTGGACGTCGCTCATGCGGAAGACGTGGTTGATCCGGACCGTCTCGGACGTCAGCTCCCAGTGCAGCTCGTCCCAGACCAGGGCCGGGAGGCGCACGTCGTCCCACCACCACTTGCACCAGCCGCCTTGTTCTTCCGGGTAGGTCGCGATCCTGAAGCCTAGGTAATGGTTCTCAATGTACTCGTATACCTTGGCGACGCAGCCAATGGACGCGGCGCGGACGGAGAGCTCGGGGAACAGACGGGGGCGGTTCCCCCTGTCCGGATCCCCGTCCTCGTCGTGGTCGACGGCGGCGGTGGCGGCGGCGGCGGCGGGCTTGCTGCACCACGCGCGCATCTCGCCCGAGAGGAACGACGGCGCCCTCGAGGCTTTGACGCGGGCGACGGCCCAGTAGCTCGAACGGAGAAAGCTGTGCTTGTCGTGCGTCGGCATGGCGAGGAACTCGTCGAGAAACGCCAGCGGCAGGCTGCACAGGACGTGCAGGAACCGCGACATGGCCAGCACGGGGTGCGCCTCCTTGGCCGAGACCCTCTGCGCAGGATCCTCCCTCTCGCGCTTGTTCCGCGGCGCGAACCGCACCCTTTCGGACCGGTAGATTGTGCTGTGCCATTCGTCAAACTCGGCGCGCGCGAGGGGCGCGGGGAAGCACTCGGCGGCGAGCCGCTTGCCGTCGGCCCGGTCGTCGAGCAGCTGCGCGCGGAGCGAGTAAAAGTCGTCTGAGGGCTCGATATCCCACATTGGAACCAGGCGCTCCTCCAGGTGGAAGGGGTCCTGCTCCCACTGCAGGCCGATGGCGCGGCCGTTGTCCTCGAGTTGCTCGCCGCGCGTCCCGCAGGCGTCGTGGAAGCGGTCCTGGTCCTCGCAGTTGCGGTAGTATTCAATGTTGGTGTGAAAGTCTTGTAGGAGGTCGCGTATGGGGACGGCGTACTCGTTCAAGGTGGCTTTGAAGGCGCAGATGACCTCTATAAAGTCGTCGGGCGTCCAGCGCTTGAACATCTTGTCGGCGCGCGCGAGGCGGGTTGCATAGGTTTCGCCCGCGGCGCCGCGGACGCGGCCTTCCGTCATTGTCGCGGTGCGGTTCTGCCATTTTGCGCCGCGGGGGAAAAAGGGGCGTTGGTAGAATGCTCTCCTCATGAACTCGAGGCGGAAGAAGGCGCGCTGGAGCTTTGCGCGGTTCGTCGGCGTCCCCTCGGTGAGATCGACGCCCTCGTACAAGGGGCCCCTCTCGTCAAAGGCCGTGTGCCGCTCAAAGGCGTAGGCAAAGTGCATGGGGTCTTCGGTGCCGTTGTCTTTGCAGAGCCTGATGAACTGGGGTCGGATCTCCTCGCCTTCGGGACCCCAGTCCTCGGGGAAGTCGTCCGGGCGGCGATCTTGCCAGCTGTTTTCCCACTCCTCCAAGGAGGCGTACAACTTTTGGCATTCCGAGATCCTGTCCAGGAGCTTGTTGATGACCTTGACGAGATTGCAGAGGTCGTTGAGGTCCCATTGTCCGCGGTCTGTGGGCTGGGGCTTTTTGGTCTTTTGGGCACGATTGCCTCCAAGTGAGGAGAAGGAAAAGGAAAAGATTGATCTGCTGCTGCTGCTGCTGCCAGCAGCTGAAGCCGTCCCGCCTCTTGCGGTGCCATCTTGGGGCGGGGGATAGTCTGCCACGGTCCCGTCGGCGTAGTCTCGGTCAAAGGCCTCCCTGGCGGCCTTGCCCAAGTGCTGAAGGCGGCGATCAACGCAGCAGATGGCGTCGGCCCAGGCTTCTGGGGCGATGTGTTTCCGGAGGACCTGGGCCTTGTTGTTGTCAAACACCTTGCGGAGAGAGGGGTCTTCCTCGCAGAGGTCCTCAATGTCCTCTAGTGACTCTTGCGCGAGGAGATCTTCAAGCAGGACTGTAATGTTATCTGATGAGGTCGTTCCGATGGCAACGGCAGGCGGAAGAGTGTTCCAGAGGGGGTTCTCGAATGGGAAGGCGAGGTTTTGGAAGGGTCCGAATAGGATGTCGATTGGTCTTTTGAAAAAGGAGTGTCTTTTGATTTGGGGTTCCCCAGGTGGAGTTTCCTCGACTGGGTGGTCTTCCTTGACGGGGTATTTCTCATCGATGGAGTTGTTCTCGTTGGCAGAGTGGTCTTCATCTGTGTCCTCCATGACGGCTCACTCAAGACCCAAGCTCGAGTATATTGGATTTTCACATAGACTTGGGTGAGTCGGGTTCGACATTGCCTGCTGATATAGCCAGTAGTTTGGTTAGATGCCGACACAAGGCATTCTTCATCCCGGATCTTGTTCTCGTTTTGTTTGACTGTCTTTGTCTGGTCATTCTTCAGTATTGTTCAAAGAGACAGATGTGTATTGCATGAACGTGCCTCGGAAAGGGCAACGATGCCCCAGTATTGGCGCGGGCCATGTCTTTTGTTGATACGAGATGCATGACGAGGCGCTTTCTCCTACAGCCAGTATATTGCCTTGTTCAATCAAAGTGGACCTTTAAACCCTGTTGAATTTAAATGTCCTGTTGAAATCGACCGCAGACAGTAAACAGGCTCTCCATCACAAACGGGGTCGAGCATGGCTAAGCTCAGCTTTGGTCAGATTGTGATCTGGAATTGTCTAATCAAAAGTCGTCTTTCGTTGCTCTGTGTTTCTTTGTAGAAAAAGACTCTAGTATTAAAGGAAAGAAGGTACGGTGACTGGATGATGGACGTTCTTCGACTTGTCCCTGATCTCATTGACAACTGACGCGACACGTCGCTGGTGGAAGCATTGATAGCCTTCAAAAATCACCATATCTATTAGCTATTAATTTTATGTTTTACGTCTGCGACAGTTTCAAGTCCGCTTGACCAGGAACCATCAAAAGCTTGACACGCGTTCTTGATCTATGCAGAGAAAACTTCCAAAGTGAAAGTTCCAAACTTCAGGGGTACGATAATGTAGTTCCTCATTCCCAAGTAATGTCATCCAACGACTCATCAAAGACGTCATCGTAGTTGACATCATCCTGGTAAGCCAACAGCTCGTCGGCAGGCAACAAAAAGTCCCCGCCAGAGTCGAACAGCATGTCCTCAAATTCGATGTCGAGCGGGTCGTTCTCATAGGCATCGGACACGTCGTCGCCGTAGTCGGCCCACTCACCGAGCTCGCGGCCGGTGATGCCAAGGAACAGGAGGTAGCAATCGTCGACCTCGCCGTTGGTCACGGTGTAGGTCAGGTCTGGGGACTTTAGCATCTCGATACCGGCATCGACGTCCTCGCCGACGAGGTAAATCTTGGCGGTCTGGTCGTCCTTGTAGGTGCAGACGGCGGGGAAGAAGATGTTGTCTTCGGGGTCGATGGCGGCGAGGATGCTGGCGGTGCTGTCGTTTTCGTCGTAGTAGAAGGGTGTGAGTGCGCTGGTGTACGCGTTAGCAAAGTCTTTCTTTATGATTCGAAACAAAGAAGGGGGGGGGGGATCTTACACATAGACTGAGGTCCCGGGGAGGTGGGCCTCGTCTCCGGCGCGGAGACGGCTGACGCCAATCTTGTCCATGGTGTTGTTGTAGTAGTGCAAGACCTCGCCAGTGGGCGTGGAGAGAGCGGCCTCGCCGTAGCCGGCCCAGAGCGTGTTGCAGGTGACGTAGTAGGGTAGATCGTTCTGGGTGGTGTTCTTCTGTAGGTAGACGTTGCCGTCGCTGCAGGCGGCCAGCACGTAGCTGTTGTCGCTCTCCAGGGCGAGCGTGCTGAACCAGTATCCGTCAAAGGCCGCCTCGTCGAGGTCGTAGGGGATGGCGGCGAGGTCGGTGCCGTTGTAGTCGAGGTACTCGATCTCCTCGACGACGTACTTTGTCAGGTCGGCGAGCTGGGTCGAGTTGGCGGCGGTGGTGGTGTTTGTGGGGACGGAGACGTTGTTGGCGTCGCGGCGGTACTCGTACTTGTTATACGGTGTGGCGGCCAGAGAGCGCTTGTCGTCGTGGAGGCCGAGCTTGCCCTTGCTGGTGCCGTCTGTCTTGTTGCTGTTCAGGGGTTAGCATGATTACCTACTTTTCAATAGCCAAGAGGGTGATGTCCATCGAGATCATCTTCACTTACCCAATGCAGTACGAGGCAATGATGTAGTCTTTGGTCTCGTGAATGGGCCAGTCCTTATCGACAAGTCCGAAACCCTTGAACTTGGCCGTAACGTCGTTGCGTACACTGAGGGTGGTGCTGATGCCGGTGCAGTTGTTGAGGGGCTTCAGCCCAGCCTCGATGCCGTCGGTGCTGTTGTCCCACTTGGCCTGGACGGCAATGGCGGCGGCGGCTTTGATAGAGGGCATGGTCTCGATGCCGATGGAGCCCTTGCACTTGGAGCACCCGTTGAAGGTGGTGACGCCGAAATCCAGACCGACGGGGATGCCGAACTGGGCGGCGATCTCGACCTGGCCCTCGGCCTCGAAGCTGGGCTTGAACTGGGGCTTGAAGCCGACGGATTTGGAACCGCCCTTCTTCCAGTCATAGACAAACTTTGCGCGGGCGATGCTGACGTCGGCGCGGGCGACGGCGGTGCCCGTCATGTTGAGGCTGAACTTGATCTCGGTGCCGATGGAGAGCATGGGGCCGACGGTGACGAAGCCGAGGGTGAAGGGCGAGAGGGGAATATCGTACAGGTTGTTGCGGAACTTGTGTTCCTGGTAGTACTGGGCGTAGATGCCGATGCCGAGACCGACGGAGAGGTCAATGTCGCTCTCAATGTAGCCGTCGGTGATGCCCTTGATGTTCTCAATGGTGATGTTGCCCTTTGTCTTGAGGGATCCGGAAAGACCGCACTTGACGCAGTACAGGTTGATAAAGTTACCCTTGGTGACGGTGGTCTGCTTCTTGGATCCCTTGGGGCGCAGGTCCTTGGGCGAAGGAATGGTGCCAAACGACTTGAGCAGGAGCGCATCGTCGCCCCAGGGGGTCTTGACGGCCTTGGCCTCGCTGTCCTTGTCGTTGTCCTGCTTCTTGGGCTTGCAGGCGTTCTTGAGCTTCTCCTTCTTGTCCTTGTCCTTCTCGGCCTCCTTGCACTCCTTGGCTGGCCAGGGGAGGAGGAGCTTGTCAAAGTCCTTTTCGAAGCGGTTGGGCTTGCCCGTGAGGATGTTGCCCCCGACCTCAACGACGGCCTTGCCGACCTCGACGACCTTGGCGCCAATCTTGACAACCTTCTCGCCCGTCTTGACGACGTTGTTCTTGGCGGCCTTGGCCCCCGTCTCAATCTTGCTACCCAGAGTGATGATGCCGCTCTTGGTCGCCTGTCCAATCTTCTGGAAGCCGTTGCCGATGGCTTGGAAGACAGTGCGTCTGGCAAGGGTCGAGTTGGACAATTCGCCATCGATGTCGACCTCGTACAGGGTCTCGTTGAAGCTGAATACGTCAGACTCGAAGTAGCCAAGGCCTGTGTCGAGATCATCGTCAAAATAGGGTCCCAGGCATGCAGTCGGGAGACCGTACTTTTCGTCTTTGGGAGCTACACAGGCGGCGGTCATGGTGGGAGCAACAGAGTAGGCCGGAGGTATGTCGGTCTCAGTCGCGGTGGGTTCGGCGGTGGCGGCAGGGTTTCCGTAGTTGACGTTCTGGCTACCGTAGTTTCCCCACACGACGTTGATATCCTTGGTAACGTCGCCAATGTCCTTGGCTTGTCCTGCTGCAGTCGCAGAGAGGGAGTTGCGGTCAAAGGTGACGGAGTTGGCCTGAAAGTAGCATCGCTGGCCCAGGTCGTAATCACCGCACTCAGGAGTGTAGGTGACGAAGATGATGTTCTCAGCCTTCCAGTTGGAGGCGCTGTGGTCAAAGGCATTCCGGTCCCCAAAGGTCATGACAAGGCTGCCTTGGCCGGAGAGCTTGACGTCGGTGATGAGGCCCGAGTGGTCAAGAACGATGGATGGAGCTGTCCATTTAGGGGTGGCAACAGCGTAGATGCCTCCTCCATTTGAGCCGGCATCTTGCGCGTAGTGGATCGGAGCACCAGCGCCGCTGGGCTGAGGAGTGAGATTGTTGACATCGTTGAGATCGTGGCTGTCTGGGACGGCAGGCTTCAGGGTCGCAATGGGCCCGAGCTTGGAGGTTGGAAACTCGTACTCCGTGCTGGAGGAAGCAGTCGTTGCGGCAACAACTTCGCTGGAGGTAGACGCCGTGCCGGTGGCCAACGTGAGAGTGCGGGTTGAGTTGGCCGGGGGGTGGAAAGTCACTCCTGTGCTGAGGGGCACAGACACAGATGCAGTCTGGGTAAGAGAGTTGACAGATTGACCCGAGACAAGTGTCTGGTTCCTTTGGTTGAGGTACTTGCGTTGGCCTGGATGTGCGAGGGCGCCGGAGAGCCCAAGCAGGGGAAGGGCGAAGGACCACTTCATGATGAAACGAGAGTGAGTGATGATCGAATTCAAAAGACTGTACTTGTGAAACTACATGTAGCTAGAGGAGAGAACGACTGTGATCAGCCCGATATGGTTGACAGGTTTTCAAAGAGTGACAGAGACAGAAACAGGAACAATCCAAGCCATGAAAGAGTGAATGGCACAGAGGAGTTGGGTGAAGGACAAGACTCGAATTCGGAAACTGAGGGCGACGAGCACTGTATTAAATGGTAACTCATCTTTTACGAACAAATTCCATCTTTCAACTTGCCGAAAGTCGAGTCAGATTTTGCTTGGCGAGAGGCCATAGTCTAACACCGGGACAGGTCGACATTGATGGCCGCATCGGAGAACAATCTCGTTCAGGACCAAGCGAGGCCTCCAGAGTCCAGGCGAGACTCAATCGAACGACAATAAACACCATCTCATGTGGTAGTCAGGGGGAGGTTCTTCGGAAATTCAGAAAAAGGCATGGTCTTCGTCGCTACTACGAGTATTAGACTCTTAACTACGTTAGCGGCCGGACCCTGACCAAATAGTCGGTAGTGTGGCTCAATGTCGCGTGGGATGTCAGAGCGCCGGCCAACTAGATCGACCTTTGGTTGGTCGCTCAACGAGATGTGGCGGCCTGCTTCTCAGCCGCAAAAGCCCAGAGTAACGAGTTGCGCACGCCACGAACAGAGGCTGCAGCAAAGAGTTGCAAGAAAAGACTTTGCTGCCAGTGAAGGAGGATCAGTGCGGCACGGGAAGGGGACTTTGAAATGTCCTAGCTCCTGCTGCCAACGACTGTCAACCCGATAAATCGGGTTGCCAGTCGAGTGGGACGAGGCGTCTAAGCTTCAATGGATTAAGGTAAAGCCACGTGGGGCCATCGAACGTTTGGTGTCGAATTTCCTTTTGGGACGACAAAAACCTTCTTTGCTGAGTTGCTGCTCTATTGCGCCATCAGAACTTAACCCACAACGGTTACAAACTAAGGGGGGTTCCGCGCGGCAAGTGATTGTCGGCAGAATGATTTAAACGCTTCTCGTCGAAGGACTTTATTGAGGATCTTCAGTGCTCCCAGGCACTAGGATCATCATTCAACACGACTTCCTAGGTCTTAATGGTAGACTTTGTGATCTTGCTCAAACCGATGAAACGAGTGAAGGATAAAAGACAAGGTTGAAGTTTGGGTCTCCTCTGTGCTTGCAGGAAGCTGCGCTCGTCCGTAAGTCAGATAGCCATGTGCGCGGTCCCGAGCTTTCTTCTTCTGGGCTTTCAGATTGGCAGCTTTGCTTTTGCTCGCCAAGTCATGAAAGCCGTTGATGAGGCCGTAGCAACCACTGGCTGAGTGCGACTTGACCGGTGCAAGGAAGGCCCTGGTACATGGACTCACGTCTATTCGAAAGAACACAAAACCCCTGGCACCAACAGTAGGGGCTCTTTAAGCTACCAGCTCGATATTATTCGATTACCGCAATGCTGATGCTATTTGCAGTCTTCTCTCCTGAGATTGAGTTGCAGCCCAAGAGTTGTGATACCAGGATCCGAATCCTGCAGATGCCAAGATGGCGATCGCTTACGGATTGCCACCAGTGCAAGACAAGCCGTGGCATCCAGTGCACGCGGACACAAGGCTCTCTTTCGAACAGGCCCGGAAGCAAGTAACACGAAGCGATCAGGCGTCGGCTCAGGCTCGACCTTCCGGCTTGCTGCTATGGACGTAGGGCCTTCAGTTCAGCGATTCCAACTGGATCTCCACGAAGGCCTCGTCTGAATTCTTTCCAAGATTAGCATCGATTTGGCTCACACATCTAGATAGCAGCGTCACAGTCAACTTACATTCCTGTCCCGAGAGTGGGTGGCGCTGTATCCGTACTACACACCAAAGTCCTAAAATGCGCGCCTCTAGCTGCATGTTCCCTGGCATAAGGCTTCCCACTTGACCATGTATATCTATTAGTTTACGTATCACAGGTGTGATTTGTTCGATCGAACCGTGGTGACGAAAGGTCAATTAATTATATATTAATTTTTATATAAAGTAAAAAAGAGAGGTTTTAACCGTGGGTTCGATCGCCGGTTAAACGCTCATATAGAGACCCTCAGATGGCCCCTGCGCTGGCGCTGACTCGAGGTCGAATTAGGCTTCCAATCCGACAATATCCTCTCTGCAGCTGCTCCTGCGGCGGTCTTTCGGCGCAGCCGAGATGACTTTAGTCCTTGCCGACAGCGATACACCATATGCAGGCTGGCGGTCGACTCCAACCCTTGTCACACTCCGCCAGGCAGCCGATTCAAATCAGGCTGACCGGATGTGAGATCTCTGATAAACACCTACATGCGCCGCAAATGTAAATTTTCAATTCTTGAACCAGGCTGGTCACTGTTCACGGCCACCAGCGCGCAATGCCTTGAACATATTATGCTTGCGTCACGACAACATACCTGTGGTGCGCCAAACGGAATCCCACCAACGACGATGACCATGGACTCGGCAAATGAAACTGGGGAAGACGGTCCATCAACGAGATCGTTTGCCCCACTTCTCATCGAAGAGAGGAAGCCGCTCAAGGAGACTACCCAGTTCAAGTTGACCAAATTTCGACACAGTTTGTGGGATAGGAGACAATGGAGGGAAGCTTTTGTCGCCGCATTCAGAGACATCCGAGCAATTCGCTGGTTCGCTGTACTCGTGTGGACATTGGCTATAGGATGGATGGCAGGACTCTGCACCTTGCTAGTCTTTATCAGCAGCACAAAGCTATATAGGGATTCGGCCTGCAAACCGGACGGCAGTTTCGACGTGAACAAGAATCAGTATAACCTCTGGTCTTCCTCTGGATTCTTCCAGATCATCCTGGCATGGGGCAGGTTTTCCTTTGCGGATGCCAAAGTCATTGACGTCGCGTGGGATGTGGTAAGAAGACAGATAACTCAATCGCATCATTCCTGTTGTTCGCCGGCTGACTAGATTCTTCACCCACAGATCTTTGGCCGTGGAGGACAGGCTCTGCTGACCTGGATCTCTTGGCAGGTGTTTGCCGACTACACCACCACGTCGATGCAAGTCAAGCCTGTGACGTACGACTTCTTCTGTACAATATTCCTCCAGGATCAGCCGGGTTTCAGGTCGACGTGGCAAATGATACGGGACTTTGCTCGTTCGCGAGGGTTGAGATCTCGGTTCATGATGGTGATCATGGTCTTGGTCACCATCTTCATCCTGTGTTTCCCTACCTTGGGCAGTGCAATGACAGGCTACGTGGCGAATAACGACGCGTATGTCCAGAATTATCAAGGCGCGTTAATACCCTTCAACGATTTCAAGGTTGTTGGGTTTGTCATCCACGACGGCTGGAGGATCGGAATGGAGGGCGATACCATGCTCACATTTCCTGATTGTGAGTGATACTTCTTTGCGGATCTGAATTTGAGTGCTGGGGCTAAGCTGATTTTGGACAAGACGACAACGGCTATAGCGGAAGCTCGTATGAGCAGAAACTCGGTTGCATGGAAGATGATCCGAGCTACCCTTATCGCCGGTACACTTTCAACGAGTCTACGCCCGATATGGAGAGATGTTCAATGTACCGGAACGTTTCAAACTGTATGTCTACACATCCCAAAGTGTCAAATTTCTTTGATTTGCAGGATATTGCAGCGCTTACATCTTGTCTTTGGCAGATGTGTGCGAATACGGGTTCTACGGTGTGGAAAATAAAAACACCACTTGGATGAACGAAACCATCCCGGCTCCTGCCCTCAACATATCATCTTCCTGGCTGAAGCCCACCAGGCTCGTTTCCGGCTGGAAATGGACAGATTCTGGCACGGACTCGAGGCCTGAAGAAGTCGAAAGCAACATGACTTACGCCTCCGGCAACGAGACCTACACCAAGAACTACATGAAGGCTTTTGGAAGTTGTCAACCCATGAGCGATCACGGAAACGGCACCGATGCCGCGCGAGAGAGCTACCAATGGGGCTTCTCTTATCTGCAACTCTACATCCTCATCCTCTTGCTCGTGCTTTGGACGTTGAGTCTTGCTTACATGTGGCTCAAGGCACGACTGACAAGGGGAATGCGACAAAGGTACGACGTGCCGAGGGGCTACAAGGGCGTGTTGACAATGTCGGATGCCATGCGGAAGGAGCTGCAGGAGACTGATCCCGACCAGCTCTCCCACGATCAGCTCTCGGCAGAAATCAAAAAGAGGCTCAAGGGCGGAAGCATGCAGCTGGAGCTGACACACTCACCGGCAACGTATGGCTTCTGGCGGGCGTCTTGGATGTGGTTCAAGGAGGAGAAGTGGTGGGTAGGCGCCATCTTGTTGATGTTGGGGCTGTCGCTGACGCTGATGCACTTGGATTTCCTATTTGGGTTGTGGCTGTTGGTCCCAATGATGTCTCACCTGCTTGCGTTGATGATAGGCCGGTCCAAGAAAAGTAGGATCGTCATCTCCCTCGTCAGTTCTGTTGTGGGAACGATCAGTTTTTTGGGACCCTTCAAGTTATTAACAAGGTGAAACCGTAAATGCGAAAGCGTTTGCAGCTCATTACTATAGCTGAAGAGAGATCCCGTAGAGTTGGATGGATGCATTTTGAATACTTACCTTATATGTTGTCAAACTAAGAATCGCCTGATCGTATCGGCAACCTCAGCAGACTTTGTGTTATGAAAAAAAAGATCCAAACCCACTGGGGTGAATGCGCCTCCATGAACCTCCTGGTCTATTTTCTGACGCACACTTAGCAGTCAGGATAATCATGAGTGTCCGCTTTTGTCACAAGAAGACGACCTGCCCACCGCCTCCAGTCAGGAACTCATCTCGCACCGTTGCAATACTGCATAGCCAGGGTCTTGTGTGTCATGCCTCAAGAAGTGAATTATCATTACTCATCTATCGAAATACGCTAAACAGGAGAAATATGTGGATTAACCCTCGTGCTGTTCGCCCGTGTACTCGTCGGCGACACGTTCTCGCTGAATCCCGTCATCTGTTTCTTCAACGTCGCAGGGCTCGGCGCCCAATCACTCAGACCGGTGTCCTTTCGCTTGATGGGGGCCGGATTCGCCGGCGGGATGACGGGCTGGGGGTGCGGCGACGTGTCCGCGAGCTCGTAGCTCTCGCCCGGCTGTTCAAATTGTTGGTAATAGGTGGCGCTCTCGCCCTGAATAGAGTTTTGCCGCGGCCACTCCGACTTATACGCCGGAGCGGGCTCCGCCAGTTCGGCCCGCTGCTGCTGGTGGCCCACGGCGTGGCCGAGGTCGCCTTCGAGTTCCATGTGGCCTCCCGGATTCGCGTAGTTGACGTTGGGGTAGCCCCCAAAGTTGGTGGTGGAGGATTTGGAGTCCGGCGCGTCGCGCTTCTCGGATCGCGGGAGGGACCTGGAGGCGCCCGCGAATTGTCCGTTGCGCTTGGATTTGCGGTTCTTCAGCCAGAACCAGAGGGCTACGAAGAAAATTACTGCGGCGACGATGGCCACGGGCACGCCGACTTTGACGCCCAGGGCAGCTTTGTCGCCTTCGCTGGAGGATGAGGTACCGTTGCATGATGATGTTATGTGGTCGGGTAAGGTACCGTTGGCGACTTGCGGGCTCAGCCAGAATTTGCCCGCGTCATAGTCAACGTGAAGATAGTTCTGGGACAGGAACACGCCGCCGAGTATGGGGACGTTGTCGCCGAGGTCGCTCAGGCCCGAGGTGACTGGTGTGCTGATACGGCTGTTGTTCAGTACGGCGTATCTACCACGGGCGTCGGTGCCGCGAACGTGGCTGACGAGCTCGTAGTGGGGGATGACGCTCGTGTAGCCGTTGGATAGCTTGATCGTCAAGGAGCCGAGGAGGGACTCGCGGGCCTTGGGGAAGTCGGATTCGCCAAAGGCAAGGCCGTCGGTGCTGGTGTGGTTGCCGAGGCTTTGAAACTTGGCAAACATGGTCTGCGTGAGGGTGAAGCTGTTCTGCACAGTATCTATGCATGCGGCCACCTTGACGCCGGGATCGAAGAGGGAGTGATGGCCGTTCGTGTTGGTGAGGATGATATCGGAGACGAGGACCTGCAGAGGGCATTCTACTGGGGCGTTGGCACCCCACATGTTGAACTCGGTCACCAGCGACTCGTTGAAGCGTGCTTCGTTGTAGCCGCCGATGATGAGTTGGCCGTCGCGCGGATGGAGCTCCGAGGTCGAGCCGTAGTCCATGCTGAAGCTTGTCGTGGGCGCGAGATCGTTTCTCACAAAGCTGTCGAGCGTGGACGAGTTTGCGCCCAATGCAATAGCGCTTTTGTTCATGGAGTCATAGTCGGCCCATACCTCGAACGGGTACCCATAGGCTACGGCGGGAGCATCGGTAAAGTTTGCGACATCGTATCCGTGTAGCACTGTCGTCTCGCCATCTTCGGGCTGAGCATCGATGGTTCTGTAGAGAGAGTGTCAATCACATGGCAAGAGAAAGAAGCTTGGCTAGGCCGAATGTGCCTTACGTTACGTTCCAATCCTTGATGTTAACGACTTGGGTGAAAGTGCCCCCCGTGGTGTCGTAGACACTGCCCGAGGCTCCTTGGCAGCCGACGAAAGCGTATGTTGAGTTGTCTGGGCAGTCCAGACTATTCCTCACTCGCGTGTTGTTTAAGATGGTGGACATGCGCATGCCCTGAACCTGGCCACCAAGCGTGAGCTTGAGGCCGCGATTGGCGCCGATGCCATTGGGAAAGGTGACGTTCTGCAGAGAGAGAGAGAGAGTGTGAGTCAACAAAGTCTACAGTCGCACACGGCAACACATCGCACAGACACAAACAAGAAACAAACACAGACACCCACGCCCATTGGGAAAATAAGACGTGATAAAAAGGTGACTGAATGACTCGTGAGTTTTTTCCTTACTTTTATGGGTAATACTAACGGGTTAATAGAACTCGAACAAGAGTCGTCCGCGAACGCGGCGAGCACGGGGTGAGAAAAGACGCTGGCCAGCAGGAGCGCCGCCCAAGGCGACGAGGTCAACATCACGAAAGTTCGCGATATAGGATGCTGCTGAATCGAAGCATGACGGGCAGATGGGCGGGCTCGATCGATCAGGACGGGGTCAGCGATGGACCACATGGCGGTTTTGTCGGGCAGGACGGCCCCCTTTTTGAAAGCTCTTGTCTGCCCACCCCCTAGGCACGTTGCAATATCGAGACAGTTGACACCCTGGAGGCGTGCCAGGTTACCTAGCCGGAAGTGGAAAACGAAACCCACTCGTGAAGTCCCTGATGATTAGAAGGGGCTCACGATAGTCCACTTTTGCCAACTCTATCCCCGCTTCAGCCCGCGCTGGGGCGGTTGCGAAGTGCTTCGGAATGCACTCCGTCAGGCACTGGGTTGATGTCTTGGACTTGCACCAAACTTGGGCCATTGTACCTTGTCATCGTGTTTACAGAAGCGAAGTCTATATAAGAAAAAGCCTTGACCATATAACGCAATTCAACATCTTATTTCGACCCAAAGTTGTTCAGACGGCTGAAACGCACGTTGCGTGGCTGTTTCTCGCTGTGGAAAGGTACACTAGTCATGAACCATGTTCGATTCAGTAACGACGCCTGCACTCTAGATTCCTTGGCGCACAGGCTCCACGGTAAGATTAGGGTCGTATTCGAAGCCAAGAGTGTGCCTGGCAAGGCGTGGGAGCCGTCGTGGTTCACTTTGCAGCGATAGCATTCCCGCGATCCGGTGCTTCCAGCGAATCGCTCTTTCCGAACCTCAGACCTGGATAACCCTGACAAGATCTGCGCCAGCGCCCTCGCAAATGCCGCGCGATCAGCGTGGCCGCCAGCAGGAAAGATACGTAGATTACGGATAATGGCATCTCACTTATGTTGACTCGAGCTGGCTCGGCCCCGGGAACTGAACACTCATAGGGCTAGAACTCTCCGGGGTACCATTTTGTAGACTATGGGTTTACGGTATGTTGGCTAAAAATTTCAAGAGACCGCGTATCGCGAGCGAAACCCGCGCAGACGCAGAAGAGAAAGGCGAATGGCCCCTCAACTGGAAAGAGACAAGGATGGGCTTTGCCTTGCCCTCGGGATCCCCTTGCTTCATGGCGTGTGGGAGGTTGTTGTTCCGTATTTCGTGCTCCGGAACACACCTCGATCTGATCCTCGCGCCCGTCAGTCATCGGTGTCATCATGTCACGAAGGAGATATCCACCGGGCCAAAGACTGGAAGAGGGAAACCGAGCAATTTGGACTCTTGAAGCGCGACTTTGCCAATTTACCACTGCCAACTCTGAATCAACTCTGGATGACCAGGGCCTGGACCGTTGTACTAGCAAGGATTGATGGTGGTTCTTCCCCCGGCGCCGCGGATCGTTCCATGAGGGAGGACTTGCAGGCGAGACTAGCAACGAATAACCATGGCGAGATTACGTTTGCAAGGGAAAGAAGTCAACGATTGCATTGTCCGATGGTTGACGATGGAGCACGTGGACATGGCTTAAGGAGTTGTGCTGCGAGATATATCGCTGAATTCGTCGGGCAAAACGAATCCTCCACCGCGTTTGAGGAATCGATGTTTTTCAACGCCAGGGGTCGCCCGTCCACCTGTGTAGAACGTTCAACGGCAGCACAACCGCTTCTTAATGAGGCCATGCATGGTTGGACTTCTTCGTAACACAACGGCATAGCTATGCGTAAGCACCATTGCAAGCGGTACATGTATAACGACAAGACTTGATCTACATTTGAATTTTTTTTTTAAGATTCTTTTTTACCGGCAGACCCATACATCCAACCTGTATCCGTGATTTGGTCCGTAACAAGCTTGGTCCATAGTCTATCTCGTCTGTGTGGAAATGTTTGGGAAGGACATGGATCAAAGATGCGCATGGTCGGTGTGATGGCCAATTGTTTGGTAGCGAAATCATTTCGGGTTTCCAAGTTCCCAACTCCAAGTTGCAGGCGATCGGAGGTGTGTGCCTCGTAATGGGTAGCTTGGGTGTGATTTGAGCCGCATCTCCGTAGTCAGTGCCTAGTCTGACAAACCCTGGAATGGGATAGATAGAACCTGAAGCTTGCACGTGTGGACAGACAACTTGGACTCGGTCTTTACTCTTACACTACCCTCTTGGCCATCTCTCAATCACAGCACGGACGCTGCCGAATCAGCAAAGGCGAAGGCAAGGCGACGGTTAGCTTTCAATAATAATGCCCAAGATTTGCCGAAACCGTAACCATTGGCCTCCGATAAACGGAGGTTGCCTCGGCTCAATGGTCTAGTGGTATGATTCGCCCTTCGGGTTCTGCACCAACCCTTGCGCATAGCGTGAATGGGCGAGGTCTCGGGTTCGAATCCCGATTGAGCCCTCGTATTCCTTTTGCTTTTTGGCCACTTGACCTGCCTACCAGATATATTTATATATGAAGCGTACGTAGTGTATGTACGTAGTGTATATATAGGTACTTACTTACTCAATAGCTGGATTAGATGGTTGTACAGTTTGTATCTCCTTTGGTTCAAGTACCTACATGTAGTTAACCATCGGATCGCTAATGGGAAATTTCCAAGGTGAAATTGTCCTACAGATTCCCCTGAGCCAATCAGCTATTGGGACCATCCAAGCAAGCCCCTCCTCATCTGCTGGATGACTGACATCTTACAATTGAGATACTGCTTGTTGATCGTTGCTCAACACCGGCACAGCTTCATTCAATATGCCAACGTCGTCCAGTCCAACGACACTTTGCAATAAGTGTTTGGGAATCGTATTTGATGACGTACAGGGTGACGCTCGCGAGGCGGGCCACTGGGACCAAACAGATACTTATCCAGAGCTTCCAGTGTTTCGCGGATCGGCCGCTAACGGCTGTACGTGTTGCGAATATCTATGTTTTCTCCTCGAACAAAAGCTACCCAAGCCCTTTCGACTTGCCCTACAAGCGTCTGCAGCGAAAGACATTACAGCGAAGCTCTCCTCGCCCGCTTAAGTGATGCGGTCCGACGTCATCGACTTTTCGCGGGATTGGGAGCCCTACGATTACGGCGTCGAAAAAGACGGGATATTTTGGCTCGATTTCAAGTTCGAGTCTGACGCATGGCGCAATGGCATTTGGTCAGACGGGTGGGGAGCGCGGGCTAACGCGTATCAAGGAGATGTTGGTATGTGCCTCTCAGCCATCTTTATGACTTACTGTAAGACCAAAAGAACAAGAGCTTTTTGCTAACCTCAAGAGATTTGATCAAAGATGTTGCAGATACTCTTGGTATTGAGCTGAAGCTCCAATCGCGAATGTTCTCGATCCACCTTGCATCACACGCCTCAAAGACTGGGTTTGGGGGTGCGCGGATGAGCACCCGGCATGCTGCTCTTCAGAGCCGAGAAGTCTCCCAACTCGGCTTATTAAAGTTGGAGAGATCAACGACGAAAAAGCTCGCTTGGTCATGAGCGATAATCTTCCTTCGACAACACCGTACATTGCTCTCAGCTACTGCTGGGGCCCACCGTCCGTCATCAAGCCCCAGCTCATCACCACAGCCGCCACATTTGCAGATAGCCAGACGGGGATTCCGCTTGAGAAAATGCCAGCTACAATCAGAGATGCAGTAGTATTTGCGCGTCATATGAAGGTTGAATACATCCGGATCGATGCGCTCTGCATCATCCAAGACAATTCTGAAGATTGGGCCAGGGAGGCAGCGCTCATGTTTGCCGTATATCGACATGCTACCCTCACCTTGGTAGCAGCCGCGGGTGATACCTCTCATTTGGGATTCCTTCAGAGGACTAGTGCTGGACCGTCGATTGTGGTCCCATTTCAGTCTGGCAGGGAAAACGCCCAGGTGTCGGGCACTTCCATCCTGTCAGCTCTCAACGAACACCGCACTTGGGATGCCGATTATCCCAGTCATATGCATAATCGCGCATGGGCAACGCGAGCTTGGACATACCAAGAAGATCTCATATCCACTCGAGTGTTGTACTTTGATAACAACACGTCCTACTTTCGATGTCAGACGGAACGACGTCTCGAACATGGCACAAATGTGTACGCCAATGTCCAAAATTGGCATAACCTGCTCTCACCTGCACCGAAGGACATTCCATACCCCGAAGGAAAAGAGAGAAGGGAGAGCCTGCATGAGAGATGGAAAGATCTTATTGTGGAGTATACGAGGCGTCAGCTCACCGTAGCCAACGACAAATTCTCGGCCCTGTCTGGTTTAGCGCGCGCTTTCAGCTCGGCGCTCGGAGACGAATATGTAGCTGGGCTTTGGCAAAGAGATTTGGTCCGGGAAATGCTCTGGCAGACTGTTATGCAGCCGTCGTCACCGCAAGAGTGGAGGGCGCCATCCTGGAGCTGGGCATCAAGTGACGCAGAAATCGGATGGGATTTGAGGTTTACGTTACCACTTATTCAGCAGTGCAGTATCGAGGATATCCAGATGAAAGCAGCGGGCCAAGATTCTTTTGGAAGACTCGAGAGCGCTTGGATCGTCCTCTGCGCTGTCTATGTTCCAGTGGTTTTGAGGCCAGTAGCCCAAGCCGAGAGCGACCAGGATACGCACTGTTGGTTTACGTATCACAGGGTGATTAGTTCGATCGAACCGTGGTGACGAAGGTTCAATAAACTTGTATTGATCTCTGCGTAAAGAGGAAAAGAAAGGTTCCAACCGTGGGTTGGATCGCCGGTTGAACGCTGATATAGAGACCCTCAGATGGCCCCTGCGCTGGCGCTGACTCGAGGTCGAATTGGGCTTCCAATCCGACACGCACCTTGCAGAGGTCCTCTTCCATGACGACGGGAACGTGAAGGGCAATGGATCCTTGGATGCCGTAGCGCCCTCGGGCTTGAGAAACGACGACACCTTTAAACTTGCCACCTTTAGCCAAGCTGTCAACCTCACCGACGTGTCAGCAGTAGTCCTTGCACTTCGCTGCATCACTCTCGGGGTTGATGAGAGATCAGGCGAAAGGGAATTTTCTTCCCCATTATTTCCAACTGGTCTTCTAGTCAGAGGTGTCCCAAACAATGGCGAGCAGCGTGAATCACTTCCGGTTTACAAACGCCTTGGTACTTTTAGAACGGGGACATTGGGACAAGCCGAAGCATGGTCCTCGCACTCTCAGTCTCGCCTGAAGCTCGTATGAGATATGGCAGGGCACCTACTTTGAGCAACTTTCCAGAAGTGGCAAGTATTACTGAACATCACGACGTCTGACGCCTTGGGGAAAAGGAAAATGTATATAGTCTACTCTCTTTCCATGCTGCCACATCTGGAAATATAGAGAATATTCGGGATTGCAAATCATCTCACCGGCCCTTAATGGCCTTTACTAGTGGGCTCATACCAACTGTCAGCTAGCTTTTCATCGCCCTTGACATATGGAAACGTACGCCATCTCGCGTCATTCTCCTCCCATCAAAGTCTTTGTGGCAGTCAACCGCAGTAATGCGACCTTTTCACTTGATTTCCAGCTCGTCCATCCTGGCCATTCTGGTATGGATTCGTTGAGCTCCTCATTGCCTCGCATGAGTGAAGGGATGGACCCGTTAATGCGGACGGAAAGTAGCAACCAGCACACCTACCTACCATCTGGACTATTCGCCCAAACCATGGCTATTCACCAAAAAGTACGTTACTACAAGTCCCCGACTTGTAGCTTGGTTGTACTTAAGTAGCCCGGGCCCGAGAGGTGGGTCTAGCCCGTAATGGCATCGCCTGTGCCGAGGTGCATCATGACAATATCACGCAGGCTTCGTACCCCTCGGCCAACACTCAATTCAGTTTTCTCGGGCGATGTTTGTTGCGAGAAATCCGCCAAGGTCTTCACTGTCTCCGTCATAATCGAAACCATGAACTTGCGTTGGTAAAGTTCCAACAAAATCAGTATTCTTGAAATTGTCGTCTCGAAGTCTCTTCCAAAATAGAGCCTTCCAGTAGCCCTAGCCTAAGTATGTTTCAAATTTTACTTTCCGAGGAGAAACGTAAGCGGGGCACGCATAACCAGATGGCGAAGAAACTTTCAGAAATACGAATACCGGTTATCGAATCCCCAAGAGGCATATTTTTTAACTTTGTCTACAGCCAAGGCGGCCCACCTCGAGAAGAAACATACTAGCATCGAAACGGGCTGACTTAGAAACATCATGACTCGATAGCAGCTTTACGATGTTTAACGGGTGAGAGTATTTCGTTATTCCTTCATACACGCAGATTGTACACGCGGCGTACGCAGCTCCCATACTTATCATTGACTCGAGTGCATTGAAGGTGCGCCTATTGTCAAATGATACAGGGTTCGCTCTTGCCGTCAGGTCTTAACACAATGCAATTATTACTCTATGATTCAGTGGTAGTCCCCAGAATGAGGATTCATCTTGCTTCTAGTATTTGAAACCATGCCATGGAAGACCTTCAGGCGCTGGAGCCACACTGTGACTCCGGCTAATCCTATCAAGGAGTTGGAGTCGTCGGAAGGGTGACTTCTGGCCCTCCTTCAATCAGGTATTTGTGCCTCATATTGATATTTCGGACGATTGGGGCGATCATCACTGATCTTGGGGACGAAACAAGATTCCTGAGACACAGATCGGATATGATTGATTGCATGGGGCTGGCCTCTCACATACGCAGCGCTAGAATCTCTGGCTAGTGCGCGCCAAATCATCACCCATTGATTGCCTTTACATGGTTGACGACCAGGCACTGATAGTCGCTACTGCCATTGTAAATCGTGAATCCATCGTCGTGTGTCTGTCCTGTGCTCAGCTGATCCCCCCACTGCCAGAAAAGATCGGCCCCGAGTCCGGGCGCGGTCCGCGAGACCTCTTGCCAGGGTCCCTCAACGGCGCAGTGATCACTCAGGGAACCGTCTGCTTGGACGTAAGCTTATTTGAGTTCAAACATCAGACACGAGGGGAAAAACTCACACTCTTCAAAAAGGCAAGGTTTGCCGGCCTTGGCACAAGCCTCACCGTGGGATTTGATCCAGCCGGGGGACCAGGTTTTAAGATCGACGTTCCCTATAACCGTAAATCGATTTAACTCTATCCACATCTTTGGGGTGCGAGCGATTTCGGATGAGAAAGCTTGTTCTTGAAACTTACAATGATCGGGGTACATGTGGAATGTGCCAAAGTCGAGTGTCTTGATGCCGAGGTTTTTGACGAAATCTGTCCCTTCGCCGTATTGGTAGGGATAGCTTCCGTCACCGGGAAGGCCCATGCCCTCGTCGCCGAGAGTCACCATGTGGCTCGCATCTAATGACTTTACAAACTGGGAAGTCGTTTGCGCCCACTGAAAGATCACATCGGTACTGCAGCCATTGCAGCGAGGTTCGTTGGCCAGCTCCCAGGCAAAAATGGCGGGAGAGTTCTTGTAGCGGCCCACCACGGCCCGAATGTAAGCCTGGTATTGGGTTTGGGCCTGGCTGTTGGTGTACCAAGTCGCCTTGGAGCCGCCAAAGGCCTTTACGTACGCATTCATGCCGCCGTAGTCGTCCCAATGGTTCACAAAGGGGATGATCAGCTTCACGCCCTTCTTCTCCGCGGCTGCGACGACAGCATCCAGGCGCTGCAGTCCGTTGGCGCCAGTGTTGATCTGCGACCCGGACGACGAGAGGTATTGGTACCAGACCTGGTTGCCGCCGGGGACGGCGTTCACGTCGTTGAAGCCCCACACGCGAAAGATCTTAAGTCCGGCTTTCGCAACATTGTCTATTACGAGATCGACGTCGGCATTGTTCGTCAAGAATGAGATCCAGTATGAGTTGCTGCCGGCAAAGTACTTGGTCTGGCCATCGATGGTGAACTTTGTTCCGCTTGCCGAAGGGAAGGTCGAAGCCTGTCTGGGCTCTGAGACGGCCAGACATTGGATGCTGGCCAAATTGGCCAAGATCGACACGAGGGCAAGCTTCATGATTGACGATTGTTCTACTGTTCCTGGCTAGGTGATGATATGGGATGAATGAAAGCCCAGATCGCCTATCCCCTAACGCGTCTTTATACTAATGATGGCAATGACTTGAATGTATCGCTGGGAGAGTGCCGACTTTCTAGCTGTGGGAGCAGCACAGCCTGGAGCCAATGAGAACCCGACGGCACTCCAAATTAGACTGGTCAAGACTTGTAGAATTAACGACCGGGGTGAATACTGCGCACATGTACATATTCCGGGGGCGATCGGCATATCGCCTGAGCAATTCACCGTATCCTACGAGCGCCGAGGCGGTGTAATCCTGATTCGGGTGCGGAGGGACGACTGCCATAGTACCTTTTCGGAAATAGTATAGAGCTAAGGGGCGGGACATCCCCGTCCACTTCGTCTCGAAAAAGGTGCCGAGAGACTAGCGGCAGGTCCGGGGCTTTTGTATGGGTCCTCGGCCGATCGGAACCGGGCCCTGTGGTCACATTGCAGTCGCACCGCTCATCAGATGAAGGGTATCGCCAAGGCCGTGGATAGATAACTTCAAGACACGCATTCTGAGAGAGTTCAAGGTAAGATGTTCTTGTCAATCAGCACGCCTACCCAGCTGGGTCCTACGGCCCAGTCTAATGTTGATTCACAAGAAAGTCCCCTACTGGTATCTTGGTTGCACCTAAAGAGTACGGGCCAAGGAGTGGGCATTCCGCCCGTAACGCACAACCGAAAGACGAGCTAAACATAGGGCATCAAAAATATCAAGGCTGTTGATTTAACCTTAGAGATCGAAGGTTTTGAATGTGCAAAGGAAGAGTTCATCAAAATTCGATGGCAATCGGGCCTTCTAACTATCCAGTTTCAGATAGGCTCTCTCCACTCGATACTCAATTGAGTTGCGAAAACCTTCCCGCAAGCCCCGGTAGCATAACGAGCTCTAGCGTAAGGCGTAAAGAAATAAGTTCCCGTGAGCTTCGAACATTTCGTGCAGCTTAAAGATCTCCGGCTCCAATGGCGTGCTGTGGTAACTTTGATGTGTTGCCTCGGGTACCATGTAGGCGATCACACCACCTGCACTTTGCATGGGAACAAACGCCTTGACCAAGTTCCTCAGAACGTTCATTATTATTAACAGTCAATCAATACAGAATGCTGCTTTCCAGTTTCCAGGTAGTAGCCTCGGAGATCTCGAACAAAGTAAATTAGTCTCAGCCAGCCTCTGGCTCCCATGCAATGCCGTCAGGTACCCGTACCTTATTCCGTATAAAGGTGTATCGAACAGCCTCAACTCAAGTACTCACATATCCTACTCAAGGAGACCGCCGCAGCCAATTCTTCAGCTCCAGGGGGGCGGCAGTATGCTCTAACGGGTGCCAGGATTACGCTCATGCATTTGAGGAAGCATGAGAATAAGTCCGCGACGGACATTTCCAACATTAACAACCATGCGCAACAACCATTGGTGAGCAGATGGATCTTGATCCTTCGACCTTAGTGTCCATTACCAAACCGAGTAACTCTCCACTTGGCCAAGGTGTTTGGCAGTCAATACGTATCTAATCCTGACTCGGATCTCGAATTTTTTTTCATCTTAGTCCATGGACTTGAGCTGTTTTACTTCACTCAGGCGACAAAGCACTGCAAATGCGCGGGCTTGAAGCCATTGTAACTAATATCTACAGGCCATATCCAAATTAAAATCAGCTCATAAATCAACATATGTAGCCTATGATGACAGAAAAGGTATTGCGGCAGAGACATGGATGCTCCTGAATTGCCGAAAAAGTCTGAATATGTTAACATCCCCGGGTGTATTCGGGTTCCAGCAAGGAAATCCCACACAAATATTGAACCTCTGACAGGCTATTCCAATGGTGGGCAGAGAATGTAAAAAGGTCAAAGCGAAGCAAATCAATCTACTCATCTTCGGGGGAAAACTCAAAACAAGCCATTGGCCAGTTAGCCAAGTCTGAATGGCTTCTAGGTGCGGCACAGCGGGCGGTGTGAGTTGAAGATGGCCCAGGCCTTTATTGAGTTCTCGGGCCTTGTAGTTAATCTTAGATGTTTTGAGAGTCAGGCAGCTCCAAATTATACTATCACCACGAAGAGAGTCTAACGCTGCGCGATTTACTTCGCGCCGGGGAAGCTTTCGTTGCCGGCCGCTCCATCGAGTCGGCTCCGGACTGGTAGGACGAAAGTACAGACGACACAGACGACAAGATGGCGAGGCTAACATGGCCAAAATTTTAACCGGCATAAGACGCGGCTCAACTTTTGTAGGTTGCCGAGAGTCATGCGTTGCGCGTTCCAAGGGGCTGGATACATGTAAGTCGTAAAGACAACATGCTTGACGTTTCGGACATCGGCAAATGAGGGTATTCGCGAATGTTTGCAGACTCTTTCCCACGTTAACGAGAGTTTACGGGCCCACGGGTCCACGACCACCATTTGGACGCGAGAACTTTGCTTCCCTTGTCTGTTCAGTAACCTTGAAAGAGGTGAGGGGGAACTTAAGCTCGGAGGGGTAACGGTCCAGAGGTTCTTGGCATCCCAAAATCTCCGCGGTCGTTACGACGACTTGCCTGGCTATGAAAACCGATTGGTCTCTTCCCGATACCCCGCAGCGGGAGATGTACGTGGCTCGCAAAGATCAGGCCTGCGCTTTTAGTTACCAATTCTAGCCAGTTGTGCTCAACATTGAGTCTAAAGTTGCCTCACCCCTCGGCGTCGACTCGAATCCAGAGGCAATCGACGAGGGCTCTTGAATCATGGGCCACTCTGCCCTCCCTCCTGGGGCTCTGTGGAAGGAATAAACGCTGTCATTAGTGAACGACGTGTGGACGGACTTCGTCGCTCTCGGGCCCCCTTGCGAGCATCCTGTCTACGCCCTACCTTAGCGCATGAACACCAAGCTTTTCCGTCCCATGTCTGTCGGGACACGCGTTGAAGGCACGTTACTCATCCTCACAGTCGTTCCTACCTTACGGATCACAATATATACTGAATCGCGTGGGTGCCGCGCCCGCAGGAGCGATTTGGGCTTCCGCAATGGTGGCAGACAGCCTCGTTTTTGTTGCATCCTTGGAGCGAATATCAGGTCACTACTGGCGATGGCTCAAATTCAGGGCTAGGATATCGGCCGTCTCAGACTATAACTTAACCTTAACGAAGAATTTTAGACTTGTTCATTAGGACGACAAGCAAAAAAAGTATTCTCGTGGGCTAAACAAAGCTTTAGGGGTGTTTTGAGAAGTATTAAAGACAAGAAGTCCTCCCGAAATTCCAACGTCTGGATCTTGTAAGACAGGCTACCGACCATAACAGCAACCGAACCTAGCTTCCCTGTTTCCTGTGCTCATCGCCAACGTCCATCATCAACCTCCTTCTACACAATGCCGTCTATCAAGGCTTTGTTTGTTTCCGCGCTCGTTTCGAGCACCCTTGCGGCCCCCCTCATCACCCACCTTGAGAACAAAGAAAACGCTGCAAGTGTCTTCGACGAGAACCCTAGAGCTTCTCTGGTGACCCGCGAGATTGAAGCCAGCGCGGACTACGCTGATCTCGAGACACGCAATCAGGAGTATGAGGAATCCACCTCTGATGGTCTCTCTGCTCGAGGTTTAGAGGATGCCGAAGAGTCCCCCGGCCTTGAGGCGCGGGACTTGAAGGAAGTCAGCGAGGTCTACTCGACCTTCCAGTCCCGTGACTTGGCCGCGGATGATGAACAGTACGACCGCCTTGAGACGCGCGCGCAGAAGAATTCGGGTTCGGGCTCGTCATCTTCGTCGGGTCGTTCCAAGTCGGCCTCGGGCTCGTCATCTTCATCGGGTCGGAGCTCGTCGGGCCGGGGCTCGCCGGGTACCTCGTCGGGCCGGACCAGCAGCAACAGCAATAACAATAACAAACCCGACAAGGCTAGAGTAGCCAAGGAGAAGGGCGAGATCAAGGATATTCAGAAGGCCCAGAAACAGGAACATGCCGGCGCTAGGAAGGCGGAAGACAAGGAGCGGGGTGAAGTTGCTGACGCCCGCGCGAAGGAGAAGAGCGCTAAAACCCCTCAAGACAAGGAAGCGGCTAAGCGGAAGAAGGCTGAGGAGCAGGGAGAACTCAAGGATGTAAAGAACAAAGATCAGAAGGACAAGGCCCGTCTCCAATCCCAAAAGGAGAAGGAGAAGCAAGAGTTGAAGGACGCCAAGAACGGCAGATTCGTTGAGACGCCTGCCACGTCGCAGTCTCGTGGTAACTCTGTTAGTAGCAAGTCGGGCACTCAGAAGGACTACCAGAACCCCAACGACTACAAGCATCCCAACTCCCAGACCAGGGACAACAACGGCTACTACTCGAAGCAGACCCAGAAGGACGAGCGGGAGATCAGTCAACTGCAGAGAGAACGCTCCCAGCAGGATAAACAGATCAAGCAATATGAGTACAAAAGTGGCCAGAGCGACGAAAAGATCAAGAAAGGAGAGTACAGAAAGAATGAGGACGGTCAGACTATTCGCAAGGATGAGTCCAATAAGCAACGCTACAATGATCAAATCCGGAACGATGTGAAAGCCAAGAACAACAACGGGAACGGAGACGACAGGAAATACGACCAAAACATCCGTGACGAGCAAGAACGACGCAGTCGCGCGGACAGACAGATTCGCGAGGCGGAGAATGACACGACCAAGCAAGACAAACTGATCAGGGATGAGGAGACCCGCCGCACCAATTTCGATAAACAAATCCATAATGATCAAATCAAGAAAGACAAGTACGACACCAGCATCCAGGGTTATGAGAAGCAAATGAGGGAGCTGGATCAGCAGCAACGTAGGGAGCAGCAACGTAAGGAGGATGAGGAGAGACGTCGCTACGGCGGGTACTAAGCAGCTTGTGGGTCGATTTCCGCCTCTGGGCTACAGATTGAACGAGAACAAGAAGGATGGTGACTGTGGAGGTGGTGCACGGCGTTCGAGGTCCTGTTGCTTGTCCTTAATCATTTTAACTTACTCTCTTTTCTGTAACTAAAACCTACTATCATTACGGCTCCAAGGCAATAAACCGGGGTTAATGCGGCCTGTGCGCTTCTCTCAGGATCAACTGGCATGGTGTTTCCAGATGAAGAGGGATTTTATGTTTTCATAATTGCTCATTTTCCCGCGTGAGCATAGTTCTGATTCTTCAAAAAAGCATTCAAGGATATAAGCAAAACGATCCAATTTGGGGTCGATATTAGATGTCTCTTCTATGTTCATGATCTAATCAACATGTCATCAAAGTAAACACGTAGCAGACGAGTGGCCAGAGTACATGTGCAAGCAGCACAGTATTTCTAATACACCTCTAATCTACCCCATCTCACAGGTGTCCATCTGATATTCTGATCTTTTCTTTCTCGAGCAAGTCAAGAAGTGCCCCCGCAGGCGCGTCATCGCTATCCATAAAAACTTCCACCATCCGCAGACCCTTTCCATCCTTCAGCTCGTCATCATTCAATACTTTCTTGAGCTCGCCCCATGTCTTTGCAGATGCTGCGTACGTCTCTGGGCTGCCTCCAAAGAAACTGGGCGCCTGCAGATAGCGCCACCGGGCAACGTCGTTGTATGGCTGATCCAGTCCGTGTATACATCGCTCAATGGTGTACCCGTCGTTGTTGAGAAGTATGATGACCACGTTGAGTTGGTGGCGTATGATAGTAGAAATCTCCTGGACGGTCATCTGGAAACTGCCATCTCCGATGAAGAGAATTGTCCGCGCATCTTTGATGTTGTGATATTGGGCTGACTGGATGAGTTCTCGTTGCGCCAGGGCAGCGCCCTGCGCTGCGGGGAGCATATATCCGATAGACAGCCAGGTTGTCGGGAGGAACATTCTGGTATGGGGCGGCAAGGAAAATACCCGAGATCCATGACCGGCCGTTCCCGTCTCTCCGAGGACGATGTCACCTGTACGTACGAAGCTGGACGTGAGATGCCAGAACTTGGAATGGGTTATTTTCTTCTCACTAGCCACTGAAGAGAATTCAATGCCGTGATCTTGAGGAAGATCTGGGTAAGGAGTATACCGGTGAATCTTGGACGTGTCTAGTCTCTCGAGAAGCGCAGCGACTACCGCTCTGACGGTGATGTCACGGAATGTTTGATCGGCCACCTTGACATTGTCGCTGAAGAGGATCGTCACTTCCGGCTTGGGTATGCTTGAGAAAGCATAGCTATTTGTCGAGCTGAAGTGAGGGCCGAAGCACAAAATCAAATCTGCCTTGTTGACGAAAGTCTTGACGGCTGGATCGGCAAATCTCCCTGAGTAGATACCGTGATAGTTTTGCAAAGTCTCGTCGACCAGCGACTTGCTGAAAGCCGTAGTCCAAGTGGGCCAACCCGTGGCTTTCACAAAGTTCTCAGTCTGGTCGATGATACCCAGTGGCCTAGTTTCTCCATCTACGAGGATAATTGGCTGTTTCGCAGCGTAAATCTTGTCAGAAATTGCCGTCAAAGCAGCTTCGTCAGCCGGTGTCGGTGAGGCGTAGGGGAGTTGGATGGGCGTCTCGAGCCCATTGGCCGGAACCAGGACAGCAACAAGGTCCTGAGGAACTTGAATGTAGACTGGACGGCTTTGGGCCAGGCACTGCCTCAACACCTCGTCAATCTGACCCGGCGCCGACTCCGCGTGTCTCAGATCCGCCTGCGCTATCGTGACGTGGGAATGCATCTCCGCGAATCGCCTATAGTTTCCATCGTTGAAGCCGTGGTGCATCAGGGTCCGGCTCTCCTGCAGGATCCTCGAAGGCGTGCCGACGATATGAACTACAGCTGCGCGTTCAGCATACGCCCCGGCGACGGCGTTGATGGCCGAGAGCTCTCCAACACCGCTCGTCGTGATGAGGGCGCCTATGCCCTTGATTCGCGCATAACCGTCCGCGGCGTAGCCCGCGTTCAGCTCGTTGGTGTTGCCGACCCATTGCAGCCCAGCGGGTTTGACGTAGTCGAGCAGTGCGAGATTGAAGTCTCCTGGGACACCGTGGATGGCGCCTATGCCGAGTTGGTGTAAGCGAGTGAAGAGGTACTCCGCAAGCTTGATGGATGAATGTTTGCGATCTGGAACTTGAGTCATGTTGAGAGCGCTTGACAGGCCACTGGTACGGGTTCTGGAGATGATGGAAGCAAGGATTACATGGGACTGGAAGCTTGACCCCTCATATCCACATGCACAGAGACTCGATCAAGCTTCCTCCCCTCAACACTCCAGGATTTCCCCTCATCCCAGATATGTCATAGCGATATTTGTGGGCCCTCGTGGTAGCATTGGCATGTATCCGTACAGATGACTTGCATGTCTCGTCAAACTACTCCCGTGTCTAATCTTATGCCGGGTTGGGCATATCCGCGTCTGGAGAACGATAGATTAGTATTACTCTATTCACGGTGGGCAATAGTGATCCAAGGCTTAACCTACATTTTCGCATCAAATTGGTCAAGATTTGCATCGTCGAGAAGGTGGGCGCGTTCTCCGAAATCTTAGCTCCTCAAGCCCAAGCCACAACCACACCAAACATAAAACCCCTGTGCTCCAAACGGCGGAGCTCCTGGCAACGGCAAGACAAGCCGAGGCCCAAGTCGTGGAGCCATTATTAGCTCGAACAACCATCCAAAATCAATCAAGGCTGCTCCGACCACTAGTAGCCTCGGCTCCGGTCGGCCGAATCCAAAATTCATTCTATAGGATGCCAACACCGCCCGAGAGAAGATTCCCATTCATGAAAGGGAATTCGGAGTCGGAGAAATGCTATGGCTTGCTGAAGGTGAGACGAACCTCTTCCTTCGCGGACCGCGGTTCCTGGGAGAGGTATGGTAGGGACTAACACAAGATATTTTGATCGAGCTATAACTGCATCCGATGTTTGTGTTCATGAGAGAGAGGCGTAATTTGCCTTGCTACAGTACTAGGCCTTGCTCCTTAGGCCGTCCTTCTTGATTCAGAGTTATACGGACTTTCTCTGGTCTCAAAACACGCCTGGGCGGTAATGCTGAATTGAGCTCGCTCGTGGTAGCCAAGCGCGGAGGGAGAGCTTGTAACATCATCGAAACTTCTCCTACCTATGAGAGGGAATCTTTCGAGGCTTAGTCAGTTGGGCAAAAGTAAGAACATGAAGATGGGAGGGAACAAGGGGCTAGATGAGTTTACATACCATGGCTGCCACTAACTATGAATATCCTATGAAACTTTCATTCGACAGCACCGTCTGCGTATTATCTCGTCAGTAGAATAAGAGAGATGGCTCATTCCAAGATAAAGATCTCACAATCGGGAGGTCTTTCAGGTCTCCCTCGGGACTTAGCGGTGCTTTCCCAGCGAGCCAAACAATTGTCAAATCCTCTGCGCGTCGAATACAGGTCTGTGATGATGCCTGGTCCGAGACCACCCCATCGCACGTCGAAAGGTGCGAAGCGAGATGTAACGTCTTTGCTGGCACAAGTTGAGGTTGACAGAGGAGGGAAGTAGCAAGAGGGCGTGAACAATGTCCATGTGCTAGAATTTTTGTTTGCCCGTGCCTATGTCGTTATGGCGTCGGCACCTGTTCTAACAAGCCCGCACATACATACTAGACGCAGTCCTGTTGTCAAGGCCCATCATACCGCGAGATAGGGGCGCTTTTTTCAAACTAGACATCCACCTGGACAACACATGAGGGGTTGCGAGGAAAGTCGGCAACTGGGCGAGGCAAGATCGCGTCTTGGTCTACGACACCCTGGTCGGTGCAAAATGTTTGGCCACGAAATGGCCCTGTTGTCATCCCGTTTGGGTGTTTGCAGACGGGTTCTGAAGTAAAAGAGCCAGAATAGCTGTGAGACAAGGTAATATTCGAGGTGGGAATAGCGAGACCAAGGAGTGGGCAAGGCGCTTCCGACATCATCCATGTAGTGGACGCAAGTCTTACGGTTAATTATTCAGGCGCTGCTGCGAGTTCGAAAGAAACGCTGCTCCTTTGACTCGGGAGCGCCGTCGTTTTTTACGTCGTTTTCATCGTAGCCGAGTCCTCGAGCTACTTCTGTGCTTCTCGCAGCGCCTGGGGTGACTGTACGCAGAAAGATACTTGAAGCAGACGGGCTGGAGGTGGCGAGCCAGATTCGGCAGCTTGCAAGCGACCCGGTCATATGAAGGCTGGAGATACGGTGGCATGTCGGCGGTGCCGTCCTGCTCCCGCGGGGTTGCCTATTTTCAGCGCAAGATGGGGGTGGATAGTTTGAAGCAAGCGAGGGAGAGCTTCATTTAGATGATGTTCCCGGTCTTCGGACGCTCTTCCCGTGTAGGCCATGCCGGTATGCGGGAAATGATCTAGAGGGAAGGGCATGACACCAATCAGATGCAAGAAAACGCGGCCTCTTCTCTTGTATTGGATGAGAAGTGTGCTGGAATAAACTAAGAAACTTTTTAAGCCGAATCAAATGATTTCTGCTGTTCCAAAGAGCGGTGTGTTTCCCGATTATGTTTTGCTCTCATCTCGGTAGACCGTATATCACAATGTCTGAAAAAAGGAAAAAAAGGGCCTGACTGCAAGTCTGCCACAAAGGTTCTCGCCGATGTATCCGCGAAACTTTCATCGTGAACTTACAATATTAACCTCCAAAACAGCTGGGATGATCGCAGCACCATTTAAGAACCGAAATACTATTGTGTGTTAATGTTAATGAGGATTCGAGTTGAATCCTCCAAATAAGGAATCTGCTGGCTTTATCTCCTGGCACCAGAAACCAAGGTGCACCAACTAAATTTTCTCCTGCCTGCCCCTTGCCTGTCCGTATCTCTTGGCCGACCATTACCTTTGAGAAAAATCATCGCCCTGGTCATGTGCGAATTTAACAAGTTTTTTTTTTTTTGGGCTGGTACGGAGGAGCCGTTCAAAGTTTCTGCTGGACTGCGGGGAATATCAACTGGGTAATGATATCAGTATAGAAGTCTACTTTGCAGACTAAAACATTCCTCATCTATGCGCCTTAGTGATATCCTTTTCTGTATGTCCACCCTTTTATAACTTTTTATTAATAGATAAGAAGACGTCGTTAAACGTATTTATCCTGCTATGAGTCGAGAAAACTTAACCGGCCTTGGTAGAAACCTCCAAACGGCACCTCTGTAATTTGGTTGGCAATCGGCAAGGTGATGTTAAGCTTGTTTATTTTTGAAGACGTTGATGGTGCTAATCACGAGTCTGGTGGTGAGGGAATTGTAGATGGCCGGCGGGAGGAAAACAATAACCAGCGGCCGACTATAACGCCGTCCATACTTGATACAAGCATCGTTCGTTGTCCCATGCCCGTTCTCGAATATTCTCCAATATGCACAAGTGTGGCTCGCTTGTCTCTTTCTCCGGGGCCACCGTGGGAGCACTGGTGGGGGAAGGGGAGGGCGCAAAAGACATAAAAGTAAAGTACGCATCAAGGTTGTGGTCCGCGGTAAATGCGGGATAAAGGTGGGAACAACGTCTCCACGTCTCGGCCCAACTGGAAAGCTTCTGGAGCCTCAGATCATCCGGACACGACTCTTGGGCAATCCGATGGATTTACCACCAGGTCATTTGGGACGGGCCGGCGAATCAGACTGAATGTTGTTGGACTTTCAATCACCCGTCCTTCCGCCGGGCAACGTCAGGGTCGAGTGGCACCGAGAATGTCTCAGTTGTCCTTGTCTCAATGACGATGGCGCGTGTTTTCTTCCAGCAAGTGCACACACGAGTCGTGGTAGATTCGCCTCCCCGAGCTACTATGTAAGCGTCAACCGAGCGCTTGACGCAAGTGCTGCGCTGAATACTGTGGACTGGGCATTCTCTGGAAAAGCAGTCTAGCACCAAGAGATTTTAGCGGATCTACTTATTTGTTCGCCCTTTAGTCGGCTATTAATAGGTTAAGGTTCGATGAGGCTTGTGGCGGCACAGCGGCCCGGCTGCAGCGCTGTCAGCGACGAGAAGTGTCCCCCACCGTTGAGCCGCGGCGATCCGACCTTTTCCCGGCCCCGCGTGATCTTGATCCCGGAA